TGGGAAATTTTTTCGAGGAGAATCGGATTTAAAAATATTGTTCACTTTTCGAATAGAATTTTTTCGTTTTAACGCGAATCGATGTTGTTGAACAACGATTATGGATTTTATTTAAATCTTTTATTTAAATTTTATATATATATATATATTATTTAAAAATTCTAGAAACGAATAAAACTGATGATTGGTAAGCGTATATAAAAATAACACGAATTAATTTTATTTATATCAATTGGTGAAAAAGTTTTTCGAGGAGAATTGGATTTTAAAATATTGTTCACTTTTTGAATAGAATTTTGGAAATATGTTTTAATCAATGGGATGATAGAACATTAAATTTGTTATTTGAATTTACTGCGTTTTATATTATTATAAAAAAATTTTGAAAGCAAATATAAATATTTTTTTAAACATTGCACAAAATGATATATATATTTATATATAAAATATTATATAAAGAATCTCTAATTGCACATTTATTAACGAATAAATACAAATAAAAACAAAGATAATGGAAAAATCAAAGATACAAAAAAATAAAACAGTCTAATATCTTATTTACTAGAATAATAAAAGTAATCGTATATGAAATTAACGAAATAAAAAAGAAAAATGGCAAAATATCATAAAAAGCATCAATTAAAAGCAATTAAAAATATTCTTATCATGAATTCTAACCTCTTTCTTAAAATTATCAGATTTGTATAATCTACAATTAGAAATATAAATTCGAAATAACAAGTACACGAAAAAAGCAATTAAAATAATTAAAAAACGTTCTTATCGTAAATTCTAACCTCTCCCTTAAAATCAGATTCGTATATTAACGAAATAAAAAAAAAAAATGGCGGAATATCATAAATTCGAAATAACAAGTACACAAAAAAAGCAATTAAAAACAATTAAAACATTCTTATCGTGAATTTCAATCTCTCCCTTAAAATCATTAGATTCGTATATTAACAAAATAAAAAGAAAAAAAAAATTAACAAAATATCATAGAAGCAATTAAAATATTCTTATTATAAATTCCAATCTCTCCCTTAAAATCACTAGATTCGTATATGTACAAAATAAATTCGTATAATTCATATATTAAAGAAAAAAAAAAAATTGAAATATCATAAAAACAATTAAAATAGTTAAAACGTTCTTATCCTAAATTCCAATCTCTTTCTTAAGATCATCAAATCTATCGTATATATACAAATATAATAAGAAGTATATTAATGAAATAAAAAAAAAAAAAAAATGTATACGAAAAAAAAAGAAGCAATTAAAAACATACTTACTGTCGAATTTCAATATCTTCCTTAAAATCACTAGATTCGTATATGTACAATTCATATATTAACAAAAAAAAAAAAAAAAAAAAAAAAAAAAATTGGTAAAAAAACATAAAANTCATAAAAATAACTAAAACAACTAAATCTTACCCTAAATTCCAATCTCTCTCTTAAGATCATCAAATCTTTCGTACATATAATAACAAATATAATAACAAGTGTATTAATGAAATAAAAAAAAAAAAAATATATACGAAAAAAAAAGAAGTAATTAAAAACGGTACTTACCGTCGAATTCCAATCTCTCCCTTAAGATCATGAAATTCGTATATGTATACACAATTATAGTGTATCTGAACACGGTTACGGATACGAAAGAAAAGAGGAAGAAGAAAAAAAAAAATGATAGAGAGAAACAGTTTTACAACATCTTTTGATTGTGAAGCTTTACTGGGAGCGAACTGATTGCCAGATATACAAAAACTCGACAACAGATCATCGCCCGTGATAAGTTTGACGATTTCACGCGAAGGTTAGCGATTAAATTTATACGTGTTGATGCTCGGAGACAAGCGAGCATTTTTATCTGATCGCTATCGTCACACCAAGAAGTAGATGCGGTTATCACGAAAAGTAGAGATCGAGTATCAGCGTCATTGTTGTATTGTGAATAAGAAAAAAAAAAAAAAAACATTATTACGCGGACAATTGAAAAAAAAAAGAAAAAACACTGATCGGTGAATAATCTGGAAACCCATTGGTTCCAGTAATTGTGCGACTTGTATATACGAAGGCGAACTAAGTATGTTGTATCGTTGACGAGATTTTCTAATTAATAAATAATAGATAAAAGTAAGTGAAAATGTTTAAGAAAACAAATTTTTTTTGTACGGGAAGAAGAAATTGTTTGTTGGTTAGAAAGATTCGAAGAGAAAATTAAATATTTATTTATTTACTTTATGTTTCTTTCAGGAAACAATCTTCCAGAAAATTTATATTTGTATCTACGGATCTTTTCGATTCGTTTCATTTTGTCGATAAATAAATAGATTTTTCTTTTATCCGTATCTGTTTTTTCATCGGTTTGTTTCTGTTTTTAGGATTTCTGTTATTTCTATCGCGAAATAAAAATCGAAAGAACAGAAAATGATTCTGCCTCTGTTGGCCGTGATGTATACCTCAATCAGTTTTGTTGAATGCATTCCGGAATTGGAATTAGTACAAATCGTAAGAAACGATTTCAATTGATAAACAACAAAGAATATCCATCATGCAACATATTTAATATTTTTATTCGTCTCGAAATTCGTTTCAGGTATTCGCTCATAAAACGTACGCTCCAATTTCGGAATTGATAAACAGCAACGAGACGAGTTTACCGCATAATTTAACTTATGAATACTTTAACACAGCTCCGATTACCATGCCCAAAGTAAGTTCAATCTCTTTACGAAGATACGTGATGAATTTAAAAAATATATATATATATATATATATATATATATATTGCTAATATAATCATTATAATATACAAAATTATAATATACATATATATATTTTTTCGAATAAATATTGACATTGATAAAATAAAATTTCAGCAAATCAAATTTTTAATTTAATATCTTACAATTTATATATTCATAACATAATGGCAAAAAAAAGAATACAGTTAGCTTTAAACGAAACATCGAATATTTAATTGATGTAACAATTTTTAACAATATTTGTTTAATTCGTCACTTGTGTATATATCCTAATTTACGAACGAGTGAAACTTTCATTTTGCTCAACAGATCGGTATGCTTAACATGTACAATCTAGGAGTTCATTTACGAACGATATACGACGAATTTCTCGGCGAGATTTACATGCAAGAAACGGCGAAAATGCAAACGGCCGAGTATCCGTTGTCCATATTAGCTGGCCAATTAGTGAATGCGGGTCTCTGGCCTCCGGCGAAAGAGCAAAGATGGAACGCTGATATAAATTGGCAACCGATACCTACAGGTAATTGTATACGAAAATGTGTGTGTGCGCATGCGTGTACATGGTGAATGAATGAGAGAGGAAGAGAGAGAACGAGAGAGAGAGAGAGAGAGAGAGAGAGAGAGAGAGAGAGAGACATATGGAAAAATTATTCAAACGTATTATTTTTATAATAGATTATATACCAGCGCACGAAGATACATTGCTACTCGGGATACAGTGTCCAAATTTTATTCTCGAGATGGCGAAAGTATTAAATATGTCACGTGTGCGAGAAAGAATATCGCAGCATTTACCTTTGTTCGATTATATATCGAATTATACAGGGATGAATATTCGACGACCATCGGAAGTGGCGTTGCTGTATGCTGTTTTCGAAACGAAGGTAAGGAATATTTAAATTGTTATAATTTCATTAAAAAATAGAGGGAATAAATGGATAGATATTTTAGGATTGAAAATATCTTAAGATTATCTATAAATAATGATTTTTTTTCTATTCTTATTCGAATAAAAAGTGGTATTATTGCAGGCCGATTTAAATCAACCGCTTCCATATTGGGCACAAGATATCTTTCCCAATGGGGGAATGTATAACGTGTCGTTGCTCGAATACGATCTCCTTTGGGAAACTCCTTTACAGAAGAAATTAAATGGTGGGGCAATCGTAAGAGAGATTTTAGTGAATTTGTTGATGTACATCAAGGGGGACGTGCCGACGAAACGAAAGCTCATGATGTACAGCGGAAACGAAAGAAATATCGTGAGCGTTTTGAAAAGTTTAAATTTGTGGTCACCACATATTCCAAACGAGGCAGCATCCGTGATTTTTGAACTTTATTTTGACAATGAAACGGAAAGTCATGGTGTAAAGGTATGTAAGTTGATTAAAATTAATCAAAATATCACTTTTACGTATGATATTAAATATTTCTTTTGATAATAATTGTAACATAATGAAATGATAATGAAATGGAATTGAAAGGAAATAAATATTCATTATACGAATTAAAATATATTAAAAAAATAATGAAAAATGTATGTATTATTGTTTCAGATTAATTATTACACGGGAGTAGATGGTATCACCATTCCTTTGAAAATACCAAATTGCACTGAAATATGTCCAATTAGGACATTTTTATATTCAATAATAGATATTTTACCCGAGAACACGCAACGATTGTGTCATTGTGGAAAGATTGATCTTTCTGATCAGAGTGTAATACTCAATGATATCATTTATAATAGATCTGTTTCTCATAAATTACAAAATATTATGCTTCTTATTTTATTAGTAATTACTTTATTCGTATAAATTTGTATAAATGAATGTAATCTCATTGCAAATATTCGAATAATTCACACACGTGTGAGAAAATTAAAAAAAAAAAATACAAAAAGTAACAATTTGCATTCATATTAAAAATATGTTTATATTTTTCTCTTATCATTCTCTTTTTCTCTCAGGTTAAATAATTTTTAATAATTGAAATCTCAATATTTTTAATAACAATTTATTTGATTATATTTAAAATTCATATGTATAAAATATTCAAATTCATTAATTATTATTTAAATAAATTACTTGTTGTTTATTAAATTATAATTTCAATAAAATTTAAATAAAAAAAACAATTACAGTGTCCTTTTATTTAAAATTTATTTATCATATATAAAAAGTGATAAAAAATATATGAAATAATATATAATCTTTCATATATACACTCCAATATATTAAAATTACACTTGAAATTATTTAATCATATAGTTAATAAATTAACTAATTTTCGTGATTTTTTAGCAAATTGAACAAAATTTTCTGTAGCAATTACTGTAAAGTCATCCAAAATCATTAACCATCTTCTTTCTCTTGTTTGTTTGCTATCTTCCATTATCGTGCTTTCGAAATTCAATTGTTTTTTCCATAAATCGATTACAGATGGTATTATTTCTTCGTCAGATTGATCTCTTTCTTCATTTCTAAAGATTAATCGATATTTCTGTAAACAACTAGTTAAAATATAAAATATAATATGCAATTGATTTATTATAATATGTACATCAGCTTTTTTGCTATTTACTAGAGAAATTAAAATGTTTTCGTAGATTTTCAGTTTCGTGATTAGATAATTTATTATTTCGATACAAATTCTCATAGAAGTGCATAAATGTAAAATAATGGTGATCTGATAAGTCTGTATCGTAACCTAAAAAAACAAAAAAAAAAAAAAAAAATATAATCTTAAATCTTAACTTTAAATATTTATTTTGAATAATCAATAATTTATGTATATAACAAATCTATTATATTTAAGCAATACCTTTCTAAAACTAAAGTCATTATTTATCTTTGGCATTTTTCTTTTTATCTTTAACGACAAAAAAATTGAATATTTCATTTTTTAAAGAACTATGCATATCTTATATGTAACTTTAACACTTAATTTTAATATTAAATAATAAGAATAAATAATAAAAAGTATGAGAGATTAATATTTTATAAGTTCATTTTACAATCACTAAGGTTTCAAATTGTTTATTTATAATTATATTTTATATCATTTTTCTTAATTATTAACACAAGTTTTAATTTACCTTGTTTAGTCGAATATTTTCAATATTTTCATCCAATATACTTGTCACTATTTGCACAATTTCTTGTGTATACGCATTAGTTCTATATTTAGCTTCAGAAATGTCACAAAAATCCAATATTGCATTTAAAGCTTGCTCTTCTAAAGTATCTTTCCAACATCTTTTTCTCATATACAATTTCCCTATTCTCTCATTTTGAAAAACTGAAAGAATCATCTTTGCCGATTCAAAAGCAACATCGTCCACATTTAAGGTATCGAATATGAATTTCAACCACTCCGATGAAATCTTTTTGTCCTTTCCTTCATAAACCTTAGTTACAGTTAATCCGTGAACAGATTTTAATCTCTTTCTTTTACCTCTACTTTCCTCACATTCTTCGAGTGAATATTTCTGCAAATGTCTTTTTTGCGTATATGATTTTACGTTATTTGTGCTACTATCGTTTTTTTGACAAGAAAAAGATAAACACAGTTGCTGATCTTGATTTAAAATCCAATCTTTTTCGCTTATATCTGAGGTAAGAAATTCTATATCATGCGTGTCTTTTTGATGAGGAGTAATTTTATCGATTTTTTGATTAGAAAATATACTCTTTTCACTTTCATCAATGTAATTCGATATTGATATACATTCTGCACTCAATTGATAAGTATCGTAAGCACTATCTTTTTGAGGAGAGCAAGCATCGTCAATCTGATTCGACGAAATAATAAAACTTTCATGATCAAAATCCAAATCAGAAGTTTGTGGAGCAATTACGTGTTTATTCGATTTATTCGATTTGGAGGTTAACTGTTTCCCTAGTTTATTGCAATTTTGTTTACATAATGAATATTCTTTGTTAAATAAAATATCTGAAAAATCATTATCGTGTGGGAAGATACTGTTATCTTTCATTTTCATCAAAGTTTTTAAAACATCATTATTTTGGGAATGTAATGATGAAAATTTCTCTGCCGATTTATCATTGATAAGGTTATTTTCTTCGACAAGTTTATAAGTTTCTCTATTTATGATTTTATCTTGACTTTCCAAAGAATCTCTAAACATGTCGGAACTAGAAGAACAATCTTGGTCTGAATCTTGGATAATATAATTATTCAAAGTTGTATTCTGTTGTGTACACGATTGTGTATTAAAGTATCTGTCAAGACTTTGATAAGATGCAAACACGGAAGGATTAATTCTTTTTTGAGTGAAAATTTCAATTTCTTGATTCATTTCTTGATAACAAAATTGCGATATATTATTTTTTTTATCACACTGTACATTACATGATAAATCGATACTACTATTATATTTTAAATTATCATTAAAATTTATATAATTTTCCTGATCATTGTTCAATAGATTAATCAAATTACTATGATCATTATCTTGAATATAAGATATCGAATCTTGATTATATAAATCAGAATCTTTTCCTACAAATATAATATCTTTTTAAAAATGTTATATACATATTATTTGAAATTTTTATTTAATCGTAATATATTTTATTAATCGTAATACGGTCGTTTAAATATATAATATTCATATAAACATTAATATTAATTACTTATATCATGTTATGTTAATTGTTTAAAAATATATTTAACATAAAAAATATTTATCAAAAATATTAAATATTAAATCACATTACCCATATTTTTCCACTGTTTATGAAATACCAAATGAAATTGTTCAATGGAAATAGTTTTCATGAACATTATAGCTGATTTTAACCAAACAATACTTTGTACAAAATTTAATTCAGTCAAATATTCTTCTGTATAATTCGATATTTTCTCACAAATTTGAATAAGATTTTGAGGTATATTCAAAAAATGTTCACATCGATAGCAATCTTTATTTTTATCATTGAATTTCTTTAATTCCTTCATTTCTATTAAAATATCTTCGATAATATAAGGAGAATATAATTTTTTTTCATTCGATAAATTATTTGTGAAAGTACCTATACATTAATAATTATATAAAATAATTTATTATATTATTTATTATTGAATATAAATCAATCAATAGTTATTATTTTATTATTACTGAATAAAAATTTGTAATTATGAAAAAACCTAATTCGGATGAATGATGATACGAATATTTTACGTATGCATATTGTAATTCAGAAAGAATTTTATTTCGCTTTTTAATATGAAGCTTTAATCGTTCAATCTTATTAATATTGTCGTTCACCTAGAACAATAATAAATAATAATAATTTGAATAATTTAAAGTAATAATAGAATCTTGAAAATGTAATATTATAAAATATTATGAAATAAATACCATGTTTATATATATATTTTTATTGATTAAAAATATTTTATTAAAAAGTATATTTCTAATTTTACATATAAAAAAATAAATATTAAATTCTATTTTATTATATTATATTATCTATTAAATTATTAAAATATAAGTTGATAAAATAAAATATTCAAATTATAATTCATTTGAATGTAAAAATATAAATTTTATAGAATTATAATATCATGAATATATATATATATATATATATATTTTCAAATTTGATTCTTATATATATATATATATATATAATCTCTCGGTATAAATCGAATTTATATTATTATGCAAAATGCATTGATACTAACCGGTGTATTCAGCATTTATTATTTATTATTATATTACTATATTAAATGCTTATTTTTATAAAAATAAATTATATATATATATATAGTATTCATATATAGTATCATATATAGTATTCTTATATATATATAAGAATCAAATTTGAAATTGAAAATAATAATATAAGATTAATTATCTATACATTACGTTTAATGAATCAATTCATTTGTAGCAAATAAATCAAATCACATGATGAATACTACTTCAGCTATTGATTATAGAAATTAAGAATTAAAATCGAATTTATATTATTATGCAAAATGCATTGATACTAACCGGTGTATTCAGCATTTATTATTTATTATTATATTACTATATTAAATGCTTATTTTTATAAAAATAAATTATATTTACGAATTTATATTTAAACGTTAAAAACAATTTATTAGTATTATTTATTTAACGATAAATAATTTCCTAAATAAATTAATATAGTTTTTTATTTCATATTTCAAACTTAATCGATAAAATCTTATTCCCCTAGATTTTGATTATATAATTTTATTTGGATTTAACAATTCGATTCATTGAACAATGTTTATATAATAATTTAAATATATTTTTTATTAATATTATCAGTTTATTACAAAATATATTCGAAACTTTTTTTTATAATCATTAATTGATTCAAAATAATTTTTTAATGAATCATTGTGAACAACATTTTCAGAAAGATAGTTTCACGTGCTTCCGGTTTATCGATCGAACCGGTAGGAACATGGTAATTCGGACATAACGAGAGCAAAGTGATTTTGATCTTAATCTTTTTACATAAAAAGAATTTAATAATTAACTGTAAATATGAGTGCACTTACATCTGAATCTTTAACTGATAAAGAGAAAAGTGAATTTATGCAACAAATAAAACAAGAATTTGCCATTGCAAGTGCACAAGAGATGCTCTCGGTATGATGGCATAATACATTTATTTCTCTTTTTTTTTACAAATTAAGAATGAATGAATAGCATATATTTAATTTTATATTTTCAGAAAATGTCAGAGAAATGCTTCAAAAAATGTGTGGTTAGACCTGGCACTTCTCTAGATAGTTCTGAACAGGTAATATCTATTCACAGAACATGATACATAACCTTAATAAGATATAACCTGAGAGCTTCAAAGGTAGAATAGAATTAAATATAATATTTTTTTATTAGAATATTATAACAGAAATAATTTGAAAATAGCTTTTATAAAATTTTTATTAATTTAATTAATTTTTGTATAACATAAATAATTTTTTTAAATAATTTTTATAATGAATATATGAAATTGTTACAAATATTTATTGAAAAGAAATTAATATAAAATATATAAAACAACATAAATGATCGAATATATATAAATAAAATTAAAAATTGTTCAAAAATAATAAAATTTTTAAATATATTTAAAATTTAATATTTAAAATTTTTATATATATTTTGTTTCAATTTTAAATTGTAACAAATTTTGCATGATATAGTAACATAATTAAAACAATCATAATACTCATTATTTAGATTATTAATTACAAATATAATTTGTAATCAAATAACTATATTTATATTTAAATACAATTTATTTATTATTTTGCATTTGTTCAAAATGATAATATAAATAGTAAATAATAAATGATAAATAGATATAAATAATTAAAATTTAAAGTCTTAATAAAGCAAATCAAAAATTAAAATAAGATTAAATATATATTAAATATATAAAGATGAATTGATTTCATTTTAAATATAAAGTTTTTTTCTGTATTATATATATTAAATTATGCCATATAGAGAATAAAATGGTTAAAAATAAAGTTGAAAAAAAAATATGAATGAATTTTTTATAAATCATTTTATAATTTATTTGCAGAAATGTGTAGCAATGTGTATGGACCGATATATGGATGCATTTAATCTTGTATCAAAAACATATAGTGCTCGAATACAAAGAGAGCATAATAGAATGTAACAGTACAAATTGTTAAATAAATTGTTTCTGGTTGTATATTGTGTAATTGTATATCAACTATTTCCAAATATTGTTTAGGAAATTGTAATTATTATGTATATTTGTTATCAAATCTATAAACATTGTCATTTATAAACATTGAATAATTTTGTATATAACAATATCATTTTTGATTAATATTTATATAAAAAATAGATTTTTATATTTATAAAACTAAAAGTTAAAAATGGAATTTCAATATTACACAGTGAAATAACACTGCCATCTGTACTTATAAAGCATTGACAAATAAATTACTTAAACTTATAATCTGTTTTCTTTCATCTGAAATATTATGATTCATTATATTTGTCATATTAGCAATAATAATTTTTTATTTAATATAATTCTTTATTTATATTTTAAGTTTAATATAATTTAAAATTTTGGTCTTTCTCTTATATATGTAAAACTAAACTTTGAATAAAAATTTGTAAAAATATAAAATAATTTGTTATATGAGAAGATTAAACTTTGGGTAGATTGATTATAAGGTAGATAAAAAGAAAACGCAACAATTGCAAAAGAGAAAAATCTTTATAAAATAAATAACATATACATGAATATTGTTACATCATATTTCAAAATCATAAATAAGTAACTTAGATATTTTATAAATTCCGCAATTCCATAGTATGTATTTGCATTGTTTCTTATTCATATACACTAAAAGGCACAATATAGCTACCAATACTTCAACGTGGTTACAAAAATAAACCTCTAGGATTGTATGAAAAAATATTGTAAGTGATTCATTAATACTTCATCTGTTCAATTTGATATTATAAATTAGTAAATAACAATAATTACAACTATTTCATATCAGTGTTTGCAAAATCTATAATTAATTCATAATTCAGTACATTATATGCCATTATTATATGTACAGATCAATACAGATAGTTTATAACATAACAAATCGATGTTATTAATTATATATATATCTTTTCTTAGCAAAAAAAATAGTGCAAAGATATACATATGTGTTACATATAAAGAAATTTATTAATATTTTTTCTAATCTTAAAAAATATATTTTCAATTTTTTTTATATTGTATTTATTTTTATGTTCGGCATATAAAATGAAGAATTATATATTTATTATGTACCTTATGTACATTTTACAGATTTTCCAAAAGAAAAAAAAAATATATATATATATATATATATAACAAGATTTTTGTATATATTAAAATGTAGAACATGTGATATTATATTAATTAGTTTAGGATTATTTGAAATCACTTCTTGAAACTACATAAATATAAAAATGTTTATATACCCTGCAATAGAAATGTTTACAAAAACATTTTCTAGTTTATCAGAATGTAAAATAAAATTTGTTGATATACTGTTATAAGTTATGAAACATTTCTTAAATTACTCTCTTCCTTCTTTCTTATAATTTACATTGAAAAATACTTTTTATGTAAATTTCTTTACTAATGCTAACAATACAACAAAAGTGCTTAATAATCTTAATAACAATGGAATGTATTTATATTTTACATTCTATAAAGTGTAGGAATGTTCAGTATCATCCTGAAATTGTTTTTATAAAATTATATGTCATATCATATTAAAATGTAACCACGTTGATTGGTCAGGAACACACCTGCTTTAATATATACATAGAGATAAATATTGATTCAAATTAAGAGATTTCATAATACTGTAGAAAAGTAAACTTTAAATTTTATATTTTCATTGTTAAAAATATGATTTTTTAAAATAGATAATTGATTATTTTTTAATTCAGTTATAAAAATTGAATATTAAAACAATAAATGTTATAACATTAATTTTTAACAAAGCAATGAAATTATAGTAAAAAAATATATATATATTCATGAAATTATAGTAATTACTATATTATTACTAAAACAAAGTTTTCTAACTAAATGAAATTAGATTAATGGCATATTTATAGTATATTTTAAATATAATTAATGTTTAATTGAAATTTTTAAAAAATGAAATCTCTTTGTTTGAATCATTTACAATATTTACTATTGATGACATTACAGTAATTGTGTGCTACTAAAAATTTTGTGAAGGAAGCAGGCTGTACAACCGTTAACAGATTTTGATTTGTCAAGCATCCAGTTGATCCATTATGAATTGTACTTAGTTATTGCATTTTATTGGGGCATAGTATATTTATATCAAGATATTGGATTGCCCAAAAATTGAACTATTTAATATAGATTTCATCAATATTAATTCATGGATGCAAGTAAACATAAGCATCTATCAATCTTTTATTGAATATTAATCTTCAAATTCTTTAATTTTTAATTTTATGCATTTAGCACCATTATCTTTAAAAAAAAATAATTTTATACATTTTTTTAGACAATCCATTTTTATATAGACGGATGATTTACTGATATTGCTATCAATACTATATCAGTAACTTTAGTTAAATGAGGTAATGACATTTCAGTCATAAAAGTAGGGACAGGAATTATTTCGATAAACATAACAAAATTGTTACAAAATTTTTTAAAAAGATATAACTAAGTATTCAACAACCATTAATGTAACTGATTACTTTTCATTTTTAAAATATTTTAACATTAAGATAATTGTTTTTAATGAGTATAATACTAGATATATTTACAGAACAACGTAGAAGGCAGTTTGTCTGAAAGTATACAATTAACAATTTTATTACTTTCCTAATTCTTATGTTAATATAATACATCATAAAGAAAAGAAAACATTACTTTCCTAATTCTTATGTTAATATAATACATCATAAAGAAAAGAAAACAAAAAAAAAGAAAAAATATTTACTTTAAATAATATTTTATTATTTAATTGCTTCAAAATTTTATTTCATAGAAATTTTTTCTTAGAATTTTTATATGATTTCTATTTTTAATATTTTTAATTACAAAAATATAATTTAATATCTTATTACAATAAAATACAGATAATAATGGCAATTCATTAATTTAATTTATAATATTCAATTTCTTTTAATAAAATTTTTATAATGTTTCTATAAAAATCTGAATCTTCTAATATAATATAATATTAATCTCTTAAGATGTATTTAAAAAATACTACTAAAATAAAATAAAGTTCATTATTTATAAAAATATTTTTTGACAAAAAAAATTATAAAGTATTGAAAGTATAATATTTATAAATATATTTTCAGACAGTTTCCTTCTACGTTTTTTTGTAAGAGAACTTATAAGTATTGAGCCATAAATGGCAGTGCCACGTTAGAAATCAAAATAATTTTATAAATTTATACCAATTCGCATTAATATACTTGATGCCCTGACATAGAATATTGAATATTAATGCTATAAATGAATTAATATTTTAAAGTTCTTACAGTAGTTCTTTAGTATGTGTAGTGCATTATAGTTCCTTTGCACAATTTGTTGTAATACCCGTTGAAAAATTTGACATATTTTTGTCTATGTTTAGATCTTCAAGCTAAAATAAAATATATGTAATATTCAAAATATATAAAAAACTAAGATTATATTGTATAGGATGATTATATTATGTAAGATATTTTCATAAATAATTACTATTATAATTACTATTATAAGAATTATAAATTATATAAATATATTATAAAAAAGAATTATGAAAAATATAAAAATCACATATTGCTAATATATTATAAAAATAATTGTTCTATTTTTTAATATTTGTTGATATTTAGTAATATAAATTTTTTATTTTTCTAATATTTAAATATATGAAATAAACGCTTTGATATAATAATTCATAATTTAATAATATCTTTAATAATATATTTTATAATTTATATTCTAATAAAATATATTTAAAAAATAGTATAATTCCATATAGAAATTAAAAAGCGTAAAAAAAACTGATTTATGGAAGTTATGCAGATAATATACTTATATTTTTATAATTTTTGTTTAATATTGCTAATATATTTAAGTTTTATCAAACAATATTTTATAGAATATTCTGTATATCCAAAAAATAAATCTAAATTTATATAAAATTTACTTACACATGATGTACTGCTTAATATATCATCCACATCTTCAATTTCTTCACTTATATCTTCACTATGAGCACTATGAACATTATGAATTTTATCTTGTTTTTTTATTTGTAATTTTGGACTATTTGATTTTTGAGGATCCTTAGAAGGACTTTGATCATATGTACTACCAGATGCAGATGAGACAAAATCTTCTTCATAATTATCTATTCCATCAGTTCCTAAAAATATTATTTTTATAAAATTAATATTGTTAAAAATATATTATAAACATATACATCAACATACCAAGTCCAATATCCATTAATTCTTTCAAATCATTAATATTAGTTTTTTTACCATTTAATGGTGGGAGATTGCTAAGTATAGAATGTGATTTTTTATCTAAAGGTGGTAAATCTTGTAAAAAGGTGTCATTATTATGTATATCATTAATATTTTCTCTTTTTCCATCAACAATAATTTCTTCAAAGTATACAGTTTTTCCAAAACTGTTTCCAGTATTAACTGGTTTTTTGTTTTGTACATTATTTACTATTTGTAATTCCAAACTATTTATATTATTTTGCTTATTTATATCTTCATTTTGATTTGTTTGCATTTCAGTAATTATAGATTCATCAAACTTAATTAAAGGCTCGGTTTTATTTAGTAAACTTGTTTGAATGTGTGTATCTATCTCAGTCTCCTTTGTAGTATGATTCATCATTGTGCCATTTGGACTTGTAGGGAGTGTATCAAAATTCATACTATTGTTCCCTTTGCTATCAATTCCATTGTTTTCTTCATTATATTCAGAAGTTGTACTATTTTTGAGAGAATCTTGCTTTTCATAATTTAATTCATCTAATGAAACATGAACAGATGTTTCTTTATTTTTTTTTTCAGTTATTGTCACATTTATTGGAAGTTTTGGACTTTGTTGTGAAACACTTTCTAAATTATCCGATACATCATTATCATTTGACAATGATGTAGATTCATTGTTTAATACTTTTGGAATGGAAATTTCAAATGTTGTATTTGTAATATTTGTTTCAGTTGTATCAGTTTTACTAAATTTTTTGTCAATGTTATTCTAAAAAAATATTTATAATTATAATAAATATAATAATTATTTTTTCAGTTATTTATAATAATTTATTTCTTAACTATAACATTTTATATTATTTTAATAATATAATATTGTATTATTTTATTCTAAATACCTTTTGTGTATTTTTGAAGGCACTGTGCATGCTATTTTTTAAAATTTCTCCAAGCAATGGCTCATTGGATTCAATACCTAACTCTTCGCATAATTTATTTCTTCCAATATAGTTATATTCTTTTCCAAAGTATGTTTCTGGATCATATACAGATATTGTATAATCAAGACCAAAATATTCTAGGAACTCCCTAACCAAGGAAAACAATAATTTTCCTTCTGAATTAGCCAGGTACTGTTTAACGGTTTTATTAAGAAGTGGTTCTGGATTCTGAAATATTTTTATACTTGAAAATTTAAACAGTTTATATTTACTATATTTTTTCATCATATTATTTTTATTTTTTGCATTTAATTATAATATAAAAATATATGAAGAATATTTCTGTCCTTTAATAAATAAAAATATATTTCACATATGAAAAAATTTATATTTATTTAATATTGAGAATATTTAATATTCAGAAATTTGACATACCATTACAGATTCTTGTTCTTCTAGAGCTAAAAACACACTTGCCCTGAGTTCTGCCTATATAATTATAAAATATTTTAAAAATCAATATCATAAAATAATTATATTTATGTTTTATACAAATTTAATGGAAGAAATTATTTGATGTGATCTACATAACCTATGAAAAAATATAATTTTTAAAAAAATTTTCTATCATACCCGCACTTTTGCAAGAACACCATTATTTTCAAGGGTTTGCACCACTAAATCCCGTAATTCTGTGTCTTCCTCCATAGAAATGTTTCCGTCTATCATGATTATAAATAAAAATTATTCTCACAAACACTCAAGAAATGTAAATATTTACGCTTTCCATCGCGTGTCTTCTTTTCATCTGTTTACCTAGAGAATATTTTTTCTGTCTAGGGAATTTAAACTTAGAAACTGAAAAAAAATTTATTCCTATTTAATTATTATTATGATTATTTATTAATTTTGATATATTAATATACATAAAATTAAAATAAAATACATTTATACAACAAACATTGTAAGATAAATAAAATATAATTAAATAATAAATAAAATTACTTTAATACTTTAATATTTTACTCGGATATGTTATAAATTTAGAAATATTATCAACTTTTTTAAATTTTATTTTAAAAAAAATTAAAATTAAATTTGTAAAAAAATATTTTATATAATTATGATTTATTTAATAACAAATAAAAAAATATTTTTAGAAAATACATTTTTGATAACATTCGAATATGAAGATATTAAAATTTGCAGTTAAAATACCGGAAGTAAATATTATAAGTTAAAAATACGTATTATTTAAAAATAATAAGAATTTCTTTTTAATTACCGTGTAATTAATACAATAAAATACTAAAATTTTATATATAATATTTTTATTATTTTTTATTGTAACATTTTATCAAAATCAAAATTTGAATAACAGTAAAATTCATTTGCAAGATTATTTTGATGATGAGGTACAAAACAACAAACTTCTACATTTAATAATCTTTTTGCTAATTCACTCATAATAGAACCTGAAAAATAAAAATAATTAAAAATTTTAATTAATATGTAAAAAAAAATTATTAAAAATACCTGTACAAAGTACATAATTCTTTTTAGCTAAAAATTTTATTGTAAGAGCAGTTTTTGTTAAACATTCATCAGAAAGAAATGGTGGATCGGCTATAACCAAATCATAAAAATTTGACATATGCTGAGGTATATTCAAAGGAAACTTATAGTTATATGGTACAAAGTCAACTCCATATATTTTAAAACGTTCATCATATTCAAAAAGAGTAACTGCAAATAAATATTTGACAATATTATTAATAATAAATATTTTAAATAATGCATAAATTATTAGAATACAAATATTTCCATACTTTGTCGTTCATCACAATTCTTTTTTAATTTATTATAAAGTGTAGGACATGAGATTAAAGCAATTTTTCCATCAGATTCTGTACTTTGTACAGCACCTTTTACAAGAGTATTTATTGTCTTATCATCATACCAAAATTGACTTAATTGCTAAAATTTAAATATGTAAATGTTAAATTAATATATAATAAATAAATATATATAATAATATATATAATATATATAATAATAATATATATAATATATATAAATAATAAATAGATGAGAATAACTAATCTCTTTTGTAAAACACTTAATATATCAAATTTATGTATAAATTATTAAAAAATATTAAGAAATATATTATTTAATAAGAGTTAATTTACCCAATTTTCATCAAAAGAAATTTCTAAATCTTTATTTTCTAAACTACATTTTAACTGGTTTTCTCTTTCTTGTTTTTCTTTAAGAAACTCATTTAAAGCAGCAAGTGTTGTAGGGCATAATTGTAAATCATCATCATCATCATTATTTTTATACATCTTTCGTCGTTTTTAACTTTTTATTAACTAAAACACATTAAATTTATATTATTTTTAAATATATTTATTTTATATATAAACTTTATAAAGAATAGAATTATTAATTTGTTATTTGAAAAATTTATAATTTATAACAATATTTTATATTTATTAAAAATTTAATAATTTCACTGTAATTGATTATTTATTAATGTAACTTATTTTTATATAACTTAATAAATGTTATATTTTAAATGAATTAATTTATGTAATTAATGTATTATATTTATTATTTAATTATAGAATTATATAATTCAATATTTCATGTTTGTTCAAATTCGAATTATCAATGTCAATATCAATTTATTAAAAAATAAAAAAGTTTGATCTTAATCTTAATCTTTATAGGTTGTAAAAGATAAAAATAAAAAGCAATAGATATATAAAGCTTAAAATTTAGAAAAAATCTGTGATCTTAGTAATAAAATATTAAAGATTTCTTATCGCATTATTGCAATAAAATTTACACATTTATTTACTTACGAAATTTATTACTTTTATTACTACATAAGAACTTACCTTCCCGGCTAAAACAAATTGTCTAATTACATATTAAAAAAAAGAAAAAAATATATGATCATGGATGTAAAAGATGATATACAATTATTTGAATCTATTGGTTTAAGTGAACAAAAAGCTAAGGAAACTTTAAAAAATAAACAAGTTTCTAATAATTTGAAACTTGCTATAATAGAGGTTAGTAAATTATATAAATATATTTAAAATTTTTTTTAATATTAGTAATATAATTAAAATTTCTTTGTTTATATTTAAAATTAATTAAATTTAAATTTCTTTGTTTGCATTTTAATTTTATTATTTAATTTTATCAATCTGTAAATATTTAATTGTGCCATATGTGTAATATCTATAGGCTAATAAGTATGGAATTATTACACCAGAAATTGGAATTTTATTATATCATCTTGCTTCAAAAATTAAGAATCAAATTGCAGACAAATTGTCATTTCTTGCTAAATACATAGCTGAAAAGAAATTAGATACAATTCAAAGACTAGATGCCAGTTTAAATTATTTGCTTAATCATATAAAAGAAAATGTTAATATATCTGATTTTGAAAAAGAATGTGGTATAAATATTGTTGTATCACCAGAAGAAATAGAATATGAAGTAGAAAAAGTAATAAATGCACATAAAATAGAAATAACAGAGAAAAGGTATTTATATTATATTATCATACTTATAATTATTAACATTAATATTTAATATTTTATGTTTTGTAAAATAATTTTTATAGGTATCATTTTAATATTGGTCCATTGATGCAACAAGTACGTAATATTTTAAAATGGGCAGATGGAAAAGCAATAAAAAATGAATTTGATATTCAAATGCTTGATTTGTTAGGTCCAAAATGTGAGTCTGATCTTGTACCATTAAATAAATCAACAAAACAAGCAAAAATGCGAAAACCAGTGAAAGAAAAAAGTAAATCAGATAATTTCTTATATTTATATAGAACTTATATATTATAATTTATTAAAAAAATATTTATATTATTTAGTGGAATCAAAAAATGTGACAATAACAAATGATAAAGAAGATGTTGAGACAGTAAATGAATTAATGAAAACTAAAGTTAATTTTCATAAACCAGGAGAAAATTATAAAACTGAAGGATATATTATAACACCAAATACACATAAATTACTTCAAGAACATTTAAAAATAACAGGTGGTAAGGTAATAACTAGATTTCCACCAGAACCTAATGGAATTTTACATATTGGTCATGCAAAAGCAATTAATATTAATTTTGGGTATGTTCTATCTTAGTATATAATTATATATATTAATTTTATTTAATTTATATTATATTTCAAATAATATTCCTTATTTATTTATTTATAATTTAATGTATAATAATATAATTTAGATATGCAGCAGCTCATGATGGAATCTGTTATTTACGCTATGATGATACAAATCCTGAAAAAGAAGAAGAAAAATTTTTTATTGGTATTCGTGAAATGGTAGAATGGCTCGGTTATAAACCAGTTAAAATTACTCATTCTTCTGATTATTTTCAACAGTTGTATGAATGGGCTGTTATGCTTATTAAAAAAGATTTAGCATATGTCTGTCACCAATCTAGTGAAGATATAAAAGGTTTCAATCCACCTCCAAGTCCCTGGCGAAATAGACCAATTTCAGAAAGTTTACAATTATTTGAAGTAATTATTAAATTAAATTATTATATTTTTTAGTATAACAATATAAATATTTTTAATTTTTGTAATTTTTTAACTATATATATAAAAAAAAATATAAAATTTTAAATATTTTAATTACTTTTGATTTTTTATATAGGATATGAAAAGTGGTTTACTTGAGGAAGGTGAAGCTACATTACGAATGAAAGTAACATTAGAAGAAGGTAAACAAGATCCAGTTGCATATAGAATAAAATATACTCCACATCATAGAACAGGAAATCAATGGTGTATTTATCCAACTTATGATTTTACTCATTGTTTATGTGACAGTATAGAGAATATAACTCATTCTCTTTGTACAAAAGAATTTCAATCAAGAAGATCATCATATTATTGGCTTTGTAATGCTTTAGATATTTATTGTCCTGTGCAATGGGAATATGGTAGATTAAATATTAGTTATACAGTTGTTTCTAAAAGGAAAATCAATAAATTGATTGAAGAAGGCATTGTATCAGATTGGGATGACCCAAGGTATATTTTAGTGAAATTCTACAAATATAATATCATATAAATCTTTGATATTAATATTTAAAGTCGTGAATTTTTAATTTATTGTATATATATGTATATATATTGTATATATATATGTTTTATTTTTAGATTATTTACATTAACAGCTCTTCGTAGGCGAGGTTTTCCTCCTGAAGCTATAAATAATTTTTGTGCACAAATGGGTGTAACTGGTGCTCAAGTAATTGTTGATCCACTTGCTTTAGAGGCATCTGTTAGAGATGTCTTAAATATAACTGCAAGTCGACACATGGTAGTTTTAGATCCATTAAAAATAACTATTAGCAATTTTCCTCACGAAAAATCCATAAAAGTAACAGTTTTTAACTTTCCTAATGATCCAGACAAAGGCAAACATGAGATTGATTTTGATGAAATTGTATATATTGAAACATCTGATTTCAAAGAGGTATATAGTATTATTTTAATTCAATTATACGGATTAATAAATATTTTTTATTATTTTATTAAAAATGTTATATATTTATAGAAAGCAGAAAAAGATTTTAGACGTTTAACACTAAACCAATCCGTTGGTTTAAAGCATGTAGGAATAGTATTAACAATCAAGGAAATTGAAAGAGATAGTACTGGTAATATTGTAAATCTCATAGTCAAACAAGAATCTATTTCTGAAACTAATAAACCTAAAGCCTTTATACATTGGGTATCAAATCCTATATTAGCATCCATTAGATTATATGAACGTTTGTAAGTGTTAACTTAATGCAATAAAATAATAATAATTTATCATTTATATAAATAATTTTTTACTTATTTGTGATAATTTTCAGATTTAAACACAAAAATCCTGAAGATATTAATGAGGTACCAAATGGCTTTTTAAGTGATATTAATTCAGTCACTAAAAAAGAAATTGTCGGATATATTGATAAAAGTTTAGCAAATTCGGCAAAAATTTTTGAGAAATACCAGTTCGAACGTATAGGCTTTTTTTCTGTAGATCCTGATACGTTACCGGGAAAGGTAATTGAAAGTATAAAATTTAAATTGAAATAATGTTATTATTATTGATTTTAATCTTTTGCAGCTTGTTTTTAACAGAACCGTAACATTAAAAGAAGATGCAGGAAAAATATAAATAGAATTATTACATTTAAGCAATATATATTTTCAACTTGATAGATTCATCATCAATTTTTATAATATTTTGTTATGATATTTGTAAAATAATAATTTAAAAAATTATTAGATAATTAATGGATAAATAAAAAGCTATTTAATTCATCATGCAAGATTCATATGTAGGAATCATATACTTAATATTTATAAAGGCATCTTCACCTCCATATATTTCAAGTAATTCAAGAGTTTCTTGTATTATATCTGCAACATTTTCACCCTTCTGTTGTGCATAATCAATACCTTCTCCAAGATTTACTAAAATATCAATTTTTATTATTTTTATGTAAAATTATATAAGTAAAATTGTAGAATTATAGAAGTATATTAAAATCTTACCGTTCCTATCTTTTAATAAATTAAGAACTGGTAAGATTTGTCTAAAATATGGTACTAAAGCTTCTCCAACACAATCTGCTGAGCGTACAAGATTTTGAAGAGTTTTCAGTGTTGTACACAAAACTTCCGGTACTTTTGTATTTAAAGCTTCTACAATATATATAAATTATATATAATTATAAATAAATTATATAAAATAATAAAAATTTATAAATTTTAAAATTATTTAAAAATAAAAAATGGAATAAAAAAATGAGAAAATGAGAAATGAAAAATGAAATACCTACTTTTAATAGGAATTATTAATTGTGGTACAACAGGTAAAATTTTAGGTCCACCATGTTCTAACATATCAGATATTCCTTGTTCTACTATGAACTTAAGTGGTTGTTCAGTTTCTGTTAAGCCATCAAAAAATAAAGGTAAATAGTGATGGAAATCTAAATCTTCGATGTTCACTTTCCAATTAAGTTTTAAACCATACATATCTTTTTCCAATGCAATTGGAAATACACCCCATTCATAAAATTTCCGAAAAGTTGATGGTTTGGCTGGTTGAGGTTTATATAATTCATAGCGAGGAGGTTTTGCAACTACAGTATTTTCCTATATAAATATATATAGGAAATCTTATAAATAATATTATAAATATTATAAAGAAATATTAATTCGTATAAATTTAATTTTTAGAATATTGAAATATTATATTACCTGTAGAGCTTGAATAGTGAAAGCAGGAACAACTCTGGGTTTTCTTTTTTTATGTTCTGATGTATCTTTTCGAATTTCTTTCCAAAATTTAGTTTCATTTACCATTCCGATACTTTTTTTTAGTAATATTCAATCAAAAAAAATATTTCAAAATTCGAATGAAATATTATAGAATATATATATAAATGAATATAATTTTATTTATTAAAAAGATACCAAAATTTTATATTGATAATTCGTCAGTACCTAATATCACTGAATCGTTCTAGGCAGCAACTGAAAATATGGATTTAACACGTTTCTTAGCAACTATTACAGCTGATTAATCAACTATTATAAATAATAACACATATACATCTATTTAAAAATTATTTTTATCTTAAAATTAAATTTATCTTAAATTTTATCTTAAAACATACATAAATTTTAAATGAAATATACTAGGAAATATAAAAATATTAAACTTCTATTAATATACATCTCTTCATTTTATGTACATTAAATATTTTGGTAAAGAATAAATAACAATTATTTATGATTTTGTTGCAGATTTTATAATTTTCTTGAATTGTAGATCATCAAATATTAAATCCCTTTTTTTTGGTTCATCTTTATCAGCTGTATACTTTTAATAAGAAAAATAATGTATTAAAAATATGATTAATATATAAAGTTAAAAATTGAATAATTTTTTTGAATTTGAAAAAATAAATTTGAAAAGGATATTTGTGAAGTAATTTGAAAATTCCTGTTCCTACAGGTACTGGAATACCCATTATAATTGATTCAGAAACTCCGCAAATAACATCTTTTTGCCCATAATAAGCTGCATCAAATAAGTGATCAGATGTCTTTTCAAACTGTTAAACAATCATTTATATTAGTATTTTTTCATAACAAAGATATAATAAAAAATATAGATATATAAAGTCTTACTGAAGCTAAATTTAAGACAGATTCCTTCATTTTAGCTAAACCTTGTCTTGTAATACCTAATACTTCTCCTCTGCTAGTCATTAAATCTGCTACAAGCATTGGATGTCTTCGATCAATACTCATTCCATGATTTTCCATGACCAATTTAATTTCTGTCATTATAGTTGCTCTTGCAGCCTCAATACCTAAAGTTTTAAAAACCTGAAACATTATATAATGTATATATATAATTCATAGATATATAAAGATAAATTTTATATTTACTTCAATTGTATTGTTTGAAGTTGTTTTTTTGCCAAGAACTCCAAGAGTTGCCATTACATCTCGCATATTGTCTCCTTCTACGAATAATTTATATTTTTTTTTACCACATGAATCATCATTATGAATTACAGCTCTAGAAACTGATGGTAAACCCTTAAATTGTATAAATATAAGAATATATTAAATTTTTCAAAATTAAAAAATATTTATTTATAATATATATATAATATATATATTCGTTTTTTAATTTATACATTTACCTTTATAACAATATTTGGAATCAATTCTTTAAGTTGTGTAAGAGCATAATTTAAACTATATTTATTTTTGCTTGGATTCACAGTAATAATAGAATCTCCTCTAACATTTACCAATTTTGGATTTAGTCTTAATTTTGATGTACAAATTCTACATAAATGTTATAATAATTAAATTTATTTGTATGCAAAGGAAATAACACTTCTTTTTATATTATAAATATAAATTTATACACTTACGAATAACGTATAGAATTGACATCTACTTCTAATTTCAATAATTTTATTCTATCAATATCTATCTTGATTAATAAAAAACAATCATCTGGAAGATAAACTTCTTCAATATATTCTGTCACTTCTCCTAAAGTAGTTTTTTCAATTCTGCCTTTTACTCTTCTAGCATATTCTGGATCTGCATCATTTATCTAATACCAAAATGAATCAAGAAATGAAAAATAACATATTATTTAAATACATATTATATAAATACTATTTAATTAATTAAATAATATCTTTTCATATAAATAGAATTTTAAATAAATATAACACAAAACTTACTAAAGCAGCAGTAATAATCGGAGTACTAATTTTGGGACTTGCATTAATAATTTCTTTAATACGCGGTACACCTTGAGTAATATTCATAGACGCTACACCGGCGAAATGGAAAGTTTTTAATGTCATTTGTGTTCCTGGTTCTCCAATACTTTGTGCAGCAAGTGCACCTACAGCAGTACCTGGTTCTATCTTTGCTCTCATATATTTTTCTTTACAAGTATGAATAAATTCAACTAATTGAGAAACTGTGAGTCGTTCAAGTTGTAAAATTACAGGTACATTTAATGCAGCATTATGTCGAAGGCGTGCTATTTTACGTGCTACAGTTTTAAGGAATGTGCTATAAGAAAAAGTAATATTTAATAATTTATTTTTAATAATATTAAAAAATGAAATAAATGCTATATTTACGATAATTCTTGTTTAAATTCTTCACTGAGACATTCATATTCCTCAGAATTTAGTAATTCATTTGTAGCTTTAATTACACTATGACCATCTAATGATTCTTCATTTTTACATGGAGATTTGGCTCTTACATGATCCAATATTCTCTTATAATCTACTGGACAATCTTTTCCTATTAAAATAATTATGTAATTATTTTATTTTTGATATTATACATAATATGTTACCTTCCATGTATGTAGGATCTAGAGCATCTCCCCCATACAATATTTGTACAATATCTCCTACTGAATTACGAACTGTCATATCATAATGAAGGCACAAATCTTCTAAACTCTTAACTAATCGTCGTTGCATATAACCAGTTTCAGCAGTTTTAACTGCTGTATCTACAAGACCTTCTCTTCCACCCATTGTATGAAAAAAAAATTCCGTTGGTGTTAAACCAGAATAGAATGAATTTTCTACAAAACCTTTAGCTGCAGGAATTTTCGAATGTCTTTCAAAATGTGGTAAAGCTCTATCTTCAAATCCATTTGGAACTCTATGACCACTAATAGCTTGTTGTCCCACACATGCTATAGAGTAAAAATATCATAAGAAATATTAAAAAAAATATTCTTTTAATTATTATAAAAAATATGTATATATGTAATTAATAAATATACCAATCATTTGAGAAATATTAATAAAGCTTCCTTTACTGCCAGATAATGCCATAATTAATGGACTATTACTTGGATGAAGTTCTTTTAAACATGCTTTACCAGCATGATCACGAATTACTGAAAGTTCCTTTAATATCATTGCTTCTAATGTTTCTTCTTCTGTACAACCAGGTTGACATATAAGACGTCCTTCTTCCATGTCTTGAATGTATTCTGTACACTTAGAATATCTAAATCATAATAATTAATAAATACATAATTTAAATATTTTTATTTATAAATAAAATAAAATGAGTTTTAAATTTAAACTTACCCTGCATTTAGAAGTTCTTGTTTAGCTTTAAGAAGTCCTTGACCAGGTGTAACATCACCAATACCAATTGAAAAACCTCTATTCATAAGGAAGAAACTTGCCATTCTTGCTAACCGCCACATAGCTATTGTTGCAATATCTTCACCCCAATCACGCAATAAAATATAAAATATATTTTGTTTTGACCCCGAACCTAACGTTGATTTATCCATAGATCCTGCTAATAATTCTGAGTTCCGAATAATAACATCTGCAATTTATTATTTTCGTTATTAACTAATAATATTATTAACTAATTTAAATAAAAAAAATTTTTATTAACTAATAAATTATTAATAATAAGAATACATACAAGAATCATTAATACATAATTCTTCATTGGTAGTGTAAGCTCTTCCTTTGGTTTTTAAATTAGCTTTAATATTACAAGTATTATTAGGTTTTAAAATTAAACTAAAAATTTGTTTTCCTGTCCATAATATAGTTGGTTTTAAAATAGCTGGTTCAGGTAGATTTATAGACATAGTAATATCAGGTCCTGCTAGAAGACAACCAGCTAATTGACTTGCTTGAGTTTTATTTAGAAACATGTCCTTTTGAGTCAGAAGATATCCACCAGTAATAAAATCTTGTGTTGCAGCTATTAGTAATTCTCCATTGCGAGGCGTAACTAAATTTGATTTATTCTAAAAAAATATATAATATTATGATTTATATGTAAATAGTACATTATTATAAAGTTAATAAAAAATAATTTGCATATTACCCCCATTAAAACTAGAGCTTCTGCTCTTGCTTCTTCAGTTTGAGGGACGTGTAAATTCATTTCATCGCCGTCGAAATCAGCATTATATGGAGTACAAACACATTCATTAAATCTAAATGTTCTATGATCTAATATTTTTGCTTTGTGTGCCATGATGCTTAATTTATGTAATGACGGTTGTCTATTGAATAATACTACATCATCATCCCTCAAATGTCTTTCAACAATGTCACCATACTATTAAAAATAAAATATATTATTGATCATTCGTTTTTATATATAAAATATTGGATAGGAATTACATATAAAGTATTGCATATAGATAAAATGATTTAAAGAAATGTTTAATTAAAGATATATATTAAATAAATATAATTTCAAATGTTCAATTCAAACATTTCTTTTTCACATTTCTAATGTTTTAAACTATTCATCACTTGCATCTATTGTTCACCACATTTAAATCTTCATTCATTCAATAAAATTATTTATAATTGTATTATTTTAAAGATAAAATTACCTGTAAATCTTGAGCAATTTTTTGACGGTTACCATATCTTAAATATTTTTTGAATTGTGTTTTTCCTTGTTGTATAAAATTTGCTCCTGGATGTATATCTGGACCATTTCTTACAAGTTTTCGCATTAATTCTATGTTTGATGGATTAACTTTTTCAGGATATGTTAAAATTTTGGCAACATGAATAGGTACACCAACCTAATAAAAAAATATAAAATATGTAAATTTTAATGTTTAGAACAATATAAATATATAAAAAATTAATTTATAAAAATATAAAACTTTACTTGTTCAATTCTAAGATTAGGATCTGGTGAAATAACAGTTCTACTAGAAAAATCTACACGTTTACCAGATAAGTTACCACGAAAACGACCTTGTTTTCCTTTTAATCTTTGAACCAATCCTCTTCCAGATTTTTTTGGCTGGTCAAAATATTTTAGCAATTTATTAATGATATATCAAAATAGATAAAAATTTATATCATTTATTATAAAAAACTCACTTGCATATTGAGAGGTATACCAGACATTTCACTATTTATATAAAGGGCACAATGTAATTGTAGAAATTCCCAATCCTCACTATACATTTGTACTTTAGCTCCACTTTGTCTGTGTTTTTGAATAACATCATTAATAAAAACTATTTCTGATAATTTCATTGTTAAATGATCTTCTGTTGTGCCAGCTTTGATATCAGATACAACACTAGGCCTAATACAAATTGGTGGCACAGGAATCCTTGTTAATATTAAATCTTTTGGTAATGCACATTCTGTATTCATCATTAATAGAGGAATGTCATTTTCTGGAATTTTTTCCAAAATACTTTGTACCTGGAATTATGGTATTATTATTGGATTAAATAAAAAATAAAAATTATTAAAAAATGAATTTGATTTTTATTTTTTACCTCTAAAGGATTTAACACATTAACTAATCCACTTTGAAGTATTCCTTCTAATGCTTTATTTTCTTCAAGAACATTATTATATTCTGCTAACTTTTGTTGAACAATAATATCTACTTTTTTTTTCGCCTTATATTTTTCATGAACTATTTTGAGTAAACCAGCCTTTTTGACAGTTCCATTAAGATCTCCACAATTTTGACAAACTGATGTTTTCTTAGCTTTATCCAAAATCTGTTTACGCAATGCTTTACGTGTTAAATATCCCAAATTAGGATTTAATACTCTAGTTAAATAATGTTTTTTATCTATTTCAGATAACATAACATGAGAACAATTCTATAAATAGATAATGAGATAATGCAATTATTATTATGTTATTAAAACTAATATGTTATTAAAATTAAATAAAATAAATAATAGATTACTTTACAAATAGTTTGAAGAATACCAATAATAGATCTAAAATAACCAACATGAAAAACTGGCAATTCTAAATCAATATAACCAAAATGTCCAATACATTCATTTAAAGTTTTACCACATGATGCACAATTGGTAGTATTATTACAGGTACCCTAAAAATTTATATTGATATTATTTAAAAACATTAATTTATGAAACATAAAAAGAAATTTATATGTACCATTCTTCTATCAAGAACTCCATATGGAACTGGAGTGTGTTCAACATCCTGATTATATAAATTTTTAGCCACAACATGCATATGGGCTTGTCTTTCCATATTGTGGCGGCTATCCACTCCAAATGAGACATGAGAACTAAATAATTCAAAAGAATATAGATAAAATATATCAAAATTAATAAATAATAATTATATATATTAAACTTTAACTACATTATTAATTTTTTTAATCAAAAAAAGCAATTAAATAAGTATAACAATAAATATTTTAACAAAAAATTCAGTTAATAAGATATATAAAATATATAAAATTATATAAAATTTATAATATACAAAATTTGTATATTTATACTATATTTTTAAAAATACATTTAACATTAAAAGTAATAAAAATGATAACATAAAATTTACTTTTAAAGCGAATTAAATAATATACATACATTTTGCGAGCTACGTCTGTTTCTCTAAATTGTTCTTTTACCATTGTGGAGGTTATATATTATATTTTATTTTCTAATGTTTAATATATTATTTAATGTAATTTATTTATAACTTATTTATAAATATTGTATAATATAAGTGAATAAATGTTAAACTATTATAAGATATGTATTACTTTTTTTACATAAATTACTTAAATATTCAAAAAAATTCAAAGAGTTCTTAGAACACGTGTAATCTTCTATTCGTGGTGCCATCTCGAATTTGACAGCTATAAGTCATATAATCTTGTGCTATCACGCCTATATAGCATGTAATACTTTTAGTTTTATCTATGTATAGGATTTGTATAAAACTTTTATTAAATTAGATTTTATTTTTCTTTTAATTTTTGTTTAAAATGAAATAATAAATAATTATAAATTTATTTCTAATAAAATTCTTTATTAGAATTCAAATTTGAATTCAAATACATATATATATATATATCAATACAATATAGTAATGTATTAATACATGCATAACAATGTATATAAAAGCGCGCGTGATGGATTGGATATATTGAAATAAAATATTTTTTATTATATTCATTGATTTATCTTTTTCGCTCAAAATATTATTTAATTGATTTATATATTGCATATTTATCGAATTCAAATATATTTAAAATATGCCAAGAGTAAGTTTGAAATCCTTAATTAAATAGTTAATCAAACAATCGAGGTTAAATATATTCGTTTTTTATCGGTATAGATATATTTTAAAAGTACTTGTTGAAAATGATATTAATTACTTAACATTTTTAATTTTTTTTAGGATATACGATCCTATTTTCAAACAGCTAAAATAAATTCTAGCGTCGTTTCAACAAAGGCTGTTAAAAGACGTATTATTTCATCTGATGAGGATGATGAAAAACCAAAACCTTCATTTAAACAATCTAAGGTTTAAATTAAAACTTTTAATATATTTGTTTATTATAACTTATTTTTAAAATTTTAATCTTTTAATTTAAAGAATAAGAAAATATATTTTGATTGTGTTTTAGAAAACAAAAATATTGGGAAAGAAAGTTATTGCATCTGATTCTGAAGAAGATGTTAAGATTGTTTCTCCTGCTGATATATTTGGTAAAAATCCAATAAAGAGACAAGAAGCACCAAAAATATCTAAACAATTACAAAAAAAGGTAATATTATCTAAATAATATTATAAAATAATTACATATAATTTCATTAAATATTATAGGAAGCTAGAAGTCATCATGATGATGATTTTGAAAGAACATTATGTCAATTAGATACCTCTGATATTGAACAAAAATATTTAACAGAAACTAAAGTTAACAAAGGTATTACTATAAAGTTATAAAAAATAATATACCAATTATTAGTATATTATTTAATGTAATATCATTATAATTATATTATTTTTTTATATTTATAGATTCTCATAAAAATAATGACGAAAATAAAGAAAAGATTCCTGTTATAGCCATAGATTCTGACAAAAATAATGATGAAAATGAAGAAAAAATTCCTGTTAAGAGTAAAGAAAATGTTAAAAAAAAAAAAACATTTGATAAAACAAATCAAGAAAAAAATAATGAAAAAATATATAAATTAAAATCAAAAAAACATTCTAATAATTCTAATAGTTCTAAAAGTTCAAGTGAAGACATTGAACATGAAAATTCTGAACATAATAAAATTCAACATAAAAAGACATCTTCTAAAAAAATGGACACTTCTGATATATATGAAGAAATAATTGCAAAGAAAAAACAAAGTGCTACAATGTATCAACAATATCTTCAAAGAGGAGGAGCTAGAAACCCAGGCTCAAAGAAAATTCCTGTTGTATGTAATGACTGAACAATATTAGATTAAAAAAAATTGTTCTTTTAATTTAGAAATACTACGTGTTGCTGGTAAATTGATATTTGATTTGGTAAAAGAGTGCCAGTGATAAATTATTTGATCCAACAAATGTGACACACAATTGATATATGGCTATCAGTGCTGATTAATATATGTATGTGTTGAATTCAATTAATACAATACAACTATATGTTTGTGTAAATTGATCTTATCTTGTTATACCTTATATTTTTTTTAAGTGTCAATTTATCAGCAATGCATAGTATATGTGTATACAAAAAAAAAAAAAAATATTAAAATTTTAGGGTGCTGAATATTGCTTAGCAGGATTAAGTTTTGTAATAACTGGAGTTTTAGATTCTTTAGAAAGAGAGGAAGCTGAAGAACTTATCAAACAATATGGTGGACGAATTTTACATCAAGTTACAAAGAAAACTGATTATATTATAGTAGGTGATCAAGCTGGTCCATCAAAATTATCAAAGGTAATAGTAATTATTACATAATTATAATTAATTTATTAAAACTTTATATAAAATGATTGTCTATTAAAAATTTTTCTTATTAATAATTTAAAAAATATTTAGGCTGATAGTTTAAATATAAAGAAAATATCAGAAGATGATTTATTAGATCTGATACGTACACGCCCTATAGGTTGCATTGATGATATACATCAATCTCGTACAAAATTAAAAGACAAATTAAAGCAAAAATCTGAAGAATTAGAAGAAGAATCACCATCAAAGAAAATAAAAGTTATTGCGAATGAACAAACAAAAAATTTAACAGAAATACACAAAGAAATAAGCAAGAAAGAAATAGAAACATCATTGAAAATGTCACTACAAAAAGAAGAATATGATACTAAAGATATAAAAATAAAATCTCCAATTAAAAAGAAACATACTGAATTCAAAGGATCACTCATAGAAGACAAGAAAGAAATTGATGATGCAAAAGATATAAAAACAAATATTTTACAAGATGTAAGGAATATTTGAATACGATACAAATAATTTTATTAGTTTTATATTGCTTATATTTTTTTTAGATAAATAGTAAAATATCAACGCAGGCATTGGTTGAAAAATATAAACCAAAAACTATGAAACAGATTTTGGGACAACAAGGAGATAAAAGTATTGCTAAGAAATTGTATGCTTGGTTAATAAATTGGCATAAAAATCAATCTGGTCAAGTAAAACATATAAAACCTAGTAAGTTTTTTATTTTTTATATAAAATATATTCTTATAACTTATAACTTATATATTTAATATAATATTCTTATAACTTAAATGTTTAACATAATTGAAATTTTTACTTATTTTTTTTTGCTTTAGATCCATGGGCAAAAAACAGTGATGGAGCTTTCTTTAAAGCAGCTCTATTATCTGGTCCTCCTGGAATTGGAAAAACGACAACTGTTCAAGTTATTTGCAATGAATTAGGTTTTGATCTTATAGAATTTAATGCATCAGATACTAGAAGTAAAAAACTTCTAGAAGAAGAAGTAACAGAATTATTATCTAATACTACATTAAAAAATTATTTTCAAGGTATATTTACTTATGAATTTATTTCCTGAATGATTTATTTATATATATATATCATTTTATATATATATATATAATGATTAATAGTTAGTAAATCAATTGCTTTATATTACAATGAAAGATTTCTAAAAGAATTTGAATAATTAATTTCATTTGCTGTTTTGTATTAATATTCTACTATCTGATAACTAATATTTTTAAATTTTATTTTATGTTTATTTTTAAATATTTTTAAATTTCATAGTATGTTTGTAAATATATTTAATAAAATATTTTAATAAATTTTGATTAAATATATTCAAAATATCATATATATTTTTATAAAATTATTTTCGTATTTTTTAATTTTATATTACAGATAATAAAAGTAAACCATCATCAAAACATGTTTTATTAATGGACGAAGTGGATGGAATGGCTGGTAATGAAGATCGTGGTGGTCTACAAGAATTAATTAAATTGATCAAATTAACTGATATACCTATTGTTTGTATTTGTAATGATCGAAGCCATTCCAAAATGAGAACACTTGCTAATTATACATTTGATCTTCGATTTTCAAAACCTAGATTGGAACAAATTAGGGTAAAATAATATGGAATTTAAAAACTTCAAAGAAATAGTTAATAATATTTGTTTTATGTATTTTTTATTTTACTATTTTTTTTTATATAGGCTGCAATGAAATCTATATGTTTCAAAGAAAACATTAATATCACAAATGAAGATCTTGATTTATTAATTGAATCAACTAATCAAGATATTCGGCAAATTATAAATCATTTAGCATTATTTGTTGGACAAATTGGTTTTCAAGAGAAATCTGGAAAAAAACATATAAATAAAGATCTGAAATTGGGTTCTTGGGATGTTGTAAAACAAGTATTTTCTGCAGAGGAACAAAAACATATGAATTTCAATGAGAAATGTGATCTATTTTTCCATGATTATAATATAGCACCATTATTTGTACAAGAAAATTATTTACTGGTTATACCTGAAACACCAAAGTATGTATTCAAATAAAAAGATATATTTAATTTTCTTCCTATTTATATAGATAAAATGAAGCTATTGATAATGAAATATCCAAATACTTAGATATTTTATAATTGGAATCTAATTCAAAACAAATATTCTGATATAAAATAAATTAACAATTTGAATAAAAATTGAATTATTTTAAAATCTTTATCTATTTAAAAAAAAAAATATTAAAAAATATTTAAATATTTAAAAAAAAATCAATTGCATAGTTTATTTGTTTTATATTGTTACATTCATTTAATATTATTTTTATTTTACATATAGAAATAAATTATTAGAAAAAATAGCTGAAAGTGCTGAGAGTTTAGCATTGGGAGATATAATTGAAAATTGTATAAGAAGTAATAATGCCTGGTCTCTTTTACCAATACAAGCTTGTTATTCTTCTGTTATACCTGGGGCAGCAATGTCTGGTCACATTAGTGGTCAGATTAATTTTCCAGCTTGGCTTGGACGTAATTCAAAAGCCAGTAAATTTAATCGGTAATATCATAATTATTAATTAATTATAATTCTTTTATATTCTACGTATTTTATATTCTATATTTTATATATAAATTTTTATGATTTATATGATTTTCAGTTTAATGCAGGAAATCACTTTACATGCTCGTTTGACTACTAATGCAAGTAAAGATGCTATAAATCTGGATTACATTAAATATCTCAGAAATACCATTATTAGACCTTTAACAGTTGATGGTATTGAAAATATAGCTATTGCAATAGATGTTATGAATCATTATCACTTACTCAGGTTAATATTTCATTATTTCATGAAGATTAACTTTTAATTAAGATTAATTATATTAATTATATAATTATACTTTTATAATTGTAAATTTTTTTATCAAATTTTATTATTTTTATTATTAATAGAGAAGATTTAGATTCTTTAGTGGAAATTTCTTTATGGCCTGGTCAGCAAGATCCAATGCAAGTTATAGATAGTAAAGTATGTCATATTTATAAGTCATATTTATAATTTATTAAATCATTTTTAATAATTTTATACATACTTAAGTATATATAAGTTATACATACTTAAGTAAAGAAAAAAAAAATAAATTTATATTATAGGTGAAAGCTGCCTTTACAAGAGCATATAATAAGAATTCTGTAGTTCTTCCATATGTAGTGAATAGTACATCAAAAAAGAAAGCAGCAACAAATGTACAAGAAGAAGGTTTAGAAGAGGAAGAAGAAGAAGTAGATTCTGATCAAAATGATAATATGGATACAGATAAAATGATTAAGGTTAACTAAAAAATATTTCCCATTATGAAATTTATATTTATAAATATTTAGTTTATTAATTAAAATACATTTTTAGACAAAAAAACCTGGCACAAGTAAAAATACGGAATCGAAAAGTGAAAAGAAAGGCAAAAAGAATACTGATAACATTTCTAAACGCCGAAGAGGACGAGGAAAAGCAAAATAATGCAAATATTATAAAAAAGGAATGTGATTTTTATTTGAAAAATTTATTATTTTGTAATGTATTTATTTATTATTAGATTTATAATACTTATATATTTTTCCATTTATTGTGAAAATTTTGTTGTTGTAAAGAATGATGTCATAAATCATTCATTAATATATCTATTGCGTAAAAATGGACAAATATTTTTTTTAAAATAATAATATTCAAAAAAATTTATTTTTATTTGTTTTATTTATATTTTATTCATATATTATATTTTTATTTATTCATCTTTTTTCTAGTGCCTATTAGACCAAGATTCATGCACATCCTGAAATAAAATTTAAAAAATAATAATTAACTGATATTTACATTTTAAATGTAAAACTGACATTTTTATATATCAATTTTTGTGTTTGTTTTGGCTTCTGGAATCGAATTCATATAGATAAGATAGATAAGAAATATGAATTGGATTATCAAAATATATACCTTTTGATTTAGATTTCCATCCAATATATTCGTTAGTTTTTTTATTTTCTTCTGTAAGCCAATCTGTTAATGGTTTGAAATATTCCAATAGTCCGGCAGTATCCATATTCCTTTGACCAGTGATTTTTTCCATTGCATCTTGCCAAGGTTTAGAAAAACCCAATTCCAACATTGATCTATATCATAATAATTATTCATTTAATAATTGTTTCCTTGACTTGAAATTTAATGAAGACTTACTTTAACAAATTTCCTGCTGCTGTATTATTATAAATATCACATTTATGTAATGGTTTTGAATTTGAATTCTGCGGATCATATTGTTTTGCCTCTATACAAAGAGCTTTGTGAAATTGGAATTGTATTATAAAACTGACATAATATCTAATGTATTCGACATTTGCTATTATATGATATTTCGCACCAGGATCGAAGTCATCTTCTGATCGAGTTATTGGTGCTTCAATACCTTGAAAAGCTTCAGCAATATCCCACCTAATTATTAAATCAAAATTTACAAATTAAAAAGATTAAAAAAGAAATATTATTTAATATTAAAGAATAAATTTTTATAATTTTTTTTGTAATTTTCCTATATATTATTTAAATATTAAAGTTATTAACCAGAAACAATTATAAACATCTGGCGTGATTTCTCCACGGAATACACTCCAGCGCCACTTTTCCATCGCATATGCAAATGGTAAGAAGACGATTTTATCAAGGCCTTTCAAATAAAGATGATTAATATTAGCTTCCACATCAGTTGAATCATCATCCAGTAATCTAAAATATAATATTTATATAATTTAAAAAATAATATTTGAAGTTGTTCATATTCATTTTAATATTATGGCATAAGTTATTTACTTAATGGTTTTTAGATGGCTCGGTGTAGATGCGCTAAGTGCTATAACGTCACCAACTGCTTCATGGAATCCAGGATTCGCACCTTCTTTAAAAAAAGTGGGTTGATTTTTATATTGTAGATAATATTCCACGTGACCCATTTCGTGATGTGCGGTTAACAAGTGTTCCATCGTGACTTCAGTGCACTGTTTAATTCTAAAGTCCTTGCCATCGTAGAAATCCCAGGCGCTAGCGTGACAGATTAGTTCGCGATCTTTTGGCTTTTCCAATATTGATCGTTCCCAAAAAAGATCCGGCATTGCAGTGAGATTGATCGAAGTGAAAAAATCTTCGGCAACGCGGAAAATAGTTGTCGCATTGTATCCTAAGAAAATCATTGTTTAAAAATTAAAACGATCTATCTATGTGTTTTATTTTTGAGTTAAACAATTTTTCTTGTTCATATTTTTTTACGTATAAATTCTACTTATTTATAATTAACATATATATTAATATTAATCAAACCTTGCTTTATCATAGCATCGGTGACGTCTGGCATTTGTTTTCCTGGATACGGAGTAGTAAAATTTGCGATGTTACTCCAACTTTGCGCCCACATATTGCCTAGCAAATGTGCTGGGATGGGACCATCTTTCGAAACGATATTTTCACCGTACTTTTTTCGAAGTTCGCGACGAACATATGCGTGCAATTGTAAATAAAGTGGTTTCAATTGTTGCCAGAGTGTCTCTAAAAATATTTTATGACAAATTGATATCGAATTTTAATAATTTTATTAAATATTTTAACTTTTAACTCACCGATTTGTTCAGGAAAATCATCAGCCTCATAATCTTTTAGCCAATAAGCCGCGTTATCAGAATAATTATTTAATCTGGCAGCCATATTACTTAATTCAACGTATCTCATGAACAAAAATTTCACTTTTTTACCAGTGGCATTTCTCCATTCGGTCCAAATATATTTCAGTTCTTCAGGATCGCGGCTCTTTTTTAAAAGATCCGTTAATTCCGGTTCTAAAGCGAGATCGCATTTTGTTCGATTATTGTAATCGCAGATTTTGGCAGTGCTATAGATGTTTTCCATTTCACTTATAATTTTCTCATATTCTTGATAAAGCTATAACAAACTTACAATTAATTATTATGGATCACATTTTAAAATCGCATTTAAGGCAACGTAAAATGGAATTTTCATTGAATAAAGATAAAAGCGTAAAAAAATTGAACAATTATTATTATGACTTTTTTTTATATCTCACACTTTTTTAAATATCAATACTTTCTGACATTATTTTAAGATTTTAAAGTTAAAGTTTTTGGTTTATTAAAATTTCAGAGATATTTACATTTTCAGGAAGTGCTGCATAACCTAGAACGCTAAGTTTTGAGAATTGTCTCTTGATGCGTTCATCCTTAATATCCTTCCACGAGAATTGGTTCACTTCTTGCCATGCGGATTTAAAGTACTGTGCCGCTTTTGAAGATACGTTCAATTTATCCGCTAAATTATCTTTAGTCAAATTCGATGCATATTTCCATTCGGCGAGCGTTAGCTTATTGTTCCATTCTGCATATTGTTTGTCGAGTTTATTTAGAAATTCTTTAGCCTTTATCAGGTTATCAGTCTTATTCGTATCCTGAGATGTTGATATTCCCCATACTAGCGATACAAATAACGCCACCAACAGTCTGCAAAATTTTATATAACGTTACAATGTTTAACATAAATAATTGCAGATAAAAATAATAATAAAATGTTTCGTAAATAGAAATAAACGTTTCAATAATTTTTATGATTTCCTTTGAGAGGTTACAATGTGTAGAACATTACAACTTATAAAAAAAAGTTTTATGAATTTTTCAGAATATTACAAATAGAAAAAAAAAAATTTAGAGATGCAGATGCATAATAGTATTTATTATGTTATAATATGCCTATGACAATATAAATAAAAGGGTTGAATGATAATATCGCGTCATGCTCCAGACCATAATACTTTAATCAACTACGATCTTTGAATTTTTCAATCAACTAAAATAAGATAATGACTTCTAACAACCAATTGTGTAATATTATAACGTGATAAGAATAATGAAATTAATTTCCAAACAAATTTGTGTTTCGTTTAAAACTAGATACATAGATACATAAACAATGTGTATAGTACATTACTATTTACGATTAGTAAAAATTTTAATTTCATTTCGATTGATTTTCGTACGATCGATATATTGTTAAAGAAATATAAATAATAACAAAATAACATAGTAGTAGTAAAATAGATAAATATAAGCATTTCATTTATATCTGTACTTTTTAAAAGAATTAATAAGATAATGTTTTATCTTATAATAAGTTTTATATTATAATAAGATACGATTATGTTTTTGTTTGATTGTAAAATTTAATTAATTAATTTTATTCAAAAGAATTTAAAAAAAAACTATTTCTTAATTAAAATAAATTTAATAAAAACAAAATATAATTGTATATATAGAAAGATACGTGAAACAAATATAAAATCAAATATAATATTTAGACTACTTCAATCACTGAAATGAAAGATTTCTTTCACAAAGTGGATATTATCTGATTATTATCAAGAATAAATATCGATACTATGATTTCTCTTGTTAGATTAAATCATTAAGTTGTATATATGTAAAATTTAATCAATAATCAATAAGTTAAGTTAAATTATATAAAAGTATGATAAAAATATAAATTGCAAGAAAAATCTGTTTCATATTTGAGAATTATATATTATAAAAATGCATGTAATCCATAATTGTCACAATTGTTGTAATATTATCGAAATCAAACTTGTTTAAACAAGTTAAAAATAATAAATTTTTTTTTCTCCCATACTTACGAGCGTAACATTTCCTTTCGATGTTCGACGCTGAAGTTCGACGAATTAATAAAACAGTTGACCAACTACCACAATCGGTCAAGGAGCAACTTTCACGAGTCTAGGCAAATACCGTTCCCTCGCGTAACAAAACCTGCCTACTGTCCGGTGAACACTCATCGAGTGATGTCGAATCATGAGATACGTCTAACTTTTATGCATTACCCCCACTCTTTCGATTTAATGTTTTCTCCAGTAAGAACAACGTTTACAATATATTCGTGCCGGATCATGTTTGCTCTTCGATGAATCGATGAATTTATCATTTTTCATTGAGTATGGGAATTGTAAAATATCCTTTTGCCTTTTTTTTTTGTCTTTGATATTTATAGTATACTGATATATACATAGATCTCGATTTTGAATTTAACTCCCGATTATCTTTATGCTAGAGTCTTGAAATTGAAGTTTTATTAAAAAAAAAAATCCACCAAATAATATGTCATTTACAATTTTCTGAAAAAATCACAATGAACAGTTTATTATTTTCTCACAATAACTTAAGATACACAAATTATCAAATCAGTTTTTCATATACCACTCGATTCGTTATTGAACACATTTGTTGTTCCTTTTCCATTTTTCCTCGTCATTATCCAGTTTCGCGATAATAATGAAACGTCATAAAACGTTTTATTAAACGTTTTATAAGCAAATTTTGATTGATTTTTTTGTCAATCATTTTTATAATTGGTCGAAATTGACGACTCAGTTGCTTGTCATTACCAACTCTCATCCCATTCTTTCATCCGACGAACAAGTTTTACATTCTCGATTCGTAACAACGAGCGTGTCCTTGCATCGAATGTTTTGCTCTAATGTCCTCCAGTTTTTTTCTTTGACTCTCGCTCGGACAATCACCGTTCCGTATACACTTCCACGGGAACGTGTCATCCTCCATATTCGTTACTCATTTCAAGGGCTCTCGTTACGTGAATTGAAGAGTAAAAAGTCTCGTAACCATGATAAGTAATATGACGATAATTGTACTTATGAATCGAGTTGTCTGACATCCATTAACTACGAATTTATTCCATTAGAATGGAACAAAGAAATCAAAATTATTTTGCAATTATTTTCTAATGACGAAGAAATTTTTGATATATATATATATATAGATTTTAGAAAAATGATTTTTTCTAAAAATTATAATTTTTGAGATCATCGTGAGAATTTATACTTTTAATTTAATTTTTATTGATCAGACGAGGATAAGATAATTTTATCTTTGTTAAATACTGATATTTTGGATAAGGTAAAAATTTGTAAAAGAGTATCATTAAAGAAGATAAAAAATTTAATATGATATAATATGCTATACAGTGGATTTATAGAAAACTCGTCAATATCGTTTAAAAATAATTTTTATCTTATTATTGTTGCCTAATTATTGCTTATTTAATAAGTAGTTCTGTTATCTTTGTATACATAATGAAGGAATAATGTTAAAATTGTTTGCTCTCGTGAGAGATGATTCATTATGCAAAGAGTTTCAAGTTATCGGTTTAGTTTGTAAACAATATTCGCTTATAATTCTTTTACTATTATGGCAAATTAAAATTAATTTGTAATGTAATATAAAATATATATGTAACAAGTATATCGATAACTGTAATTGAATTATCAAAAAATATCAAATTATATAATAAAATATCTAATAAGTTACTCTAATACTAATAATAGATGATTGTCAAATTGAATGTCAAAAGATATTAAATTAATTTTGTTCCGATAAGACACATTACCTTATTTACGTTCAATTTAAGAGATTAAGAAACTAGCAACAAATTATATAATTATATAATTATCAAATTAATTATATCATTAACATATTTAATAATTTAATATCATTTATTAATATCACGTAAAAGAGTATATCTTGCAGAAATGTTGCAGTTATATCCATCATACATACATCGTATATATATAAGTACATACATTATACTTAAAATAGCACGCTCGATATAATAAAAGCATTATTCGTGAAATTACTAAAATCAGATTTGTGAATATAATTCAATGATTTTTAATAAATCTCAATAATGACGAATTAAATTTTTTATTTGGCAATTTTCTATAATTTTTACTAATATATACATTCATGTTATAATTTGTTAATTTCGATAATTTTTATTAGAAAAAGTAAGTAAAAGAAGTAATTTTAATTGATTAAAAATCATAATTCGTATGTTAAAAAAAAAAATATTGAACGATATTTAAAATAAAAGGACGATGAAAATTTGACCGTGTTCACTGACAATGAACGTTGAAAATAAGTGAAATGCATCCTTCATGAGTCAGACACAACAGAACAGTGAATCTTATTATAAAAGATACCTTATTAATAGTGGCAAAAATTCCACTAATAATTCCAATAATAGTTTTACACTTTTATACATAATTTTTGCCACATTCACGCAAGTGACGATAAAAACAAGTAATGCTATTAATCAAAACTGTTAAAAAAATTAGAATTATTTTCAATAAATTTTCAAAAATGTATACGAGATATATATTTGCTCGAATTATGAAAATTTGCTGATTTGGAAGAGAGTCATCTTACGTAATAACGCGCCATTACTCCACACACGTATTTTCGTACACAATATGACGAGTGTAACAAATTTAACACGATAAACAATTACGTTTTTCTATTACTCGCTTATACCTTCGAAACTAAAACAAAATTTCCTGTACGTGTTTTAACAGCATTACAACAATTTTACAACGCGAAAGCACGCAAATGTAAACACGTTAATAATTATTACGTACCTATACAAATTAGAAGAATATTATTTAACAAACTTTTTACGTTTCAAAATATAACTTTATGCTATTTACATGCTCCTTTGACATGTACCAACTTAACATTTAGTCACGATTAATCGACTCTTTAACAAGATCCTCGATTTACATTAAATCATTTTGATGTCTCAAGTGGCTCCTCATCAATGTCTCGATTTGGTTACCGCATGAGCCAGTGACCCGTTGAGAAGCGTGGTAGAAGGAGGCTGCTTCCTCGAATCATAAATAAATCCGAGATTAAGATTTTTCAAATATCGATCGAAATCGAATTTGCTCGTGCATAAAAGATGTTATATAGGGGGAGGAAACAAACGATTCGATCGGATATTGAGAATCGTTCTAACGGAAATCACGAATATCCATCGACAGATGGATCAACGTAGAAACTAATTCTAGCCACGATTATGCGCTACTTGGGTAAGGTTGGAGAGTCGGTGGGAGGCAGCCATATAATTCTCACCGCTGTTCTCGGACGGCCAGGGACGTCCAAATTCGTATCGCTATCCACCCTCTGCCTGAGATTCTGACATTGGCGCTATACTGATTTCCTGGTTCGTGGCGTGTCCGATCCGCAGACATCGTCACGCGAAGCTTTCGCGTGGGCAGAGGCGGTGGCCAGCCCTGGAGGCGTCCCGCGTGCCCATCTTCGGTAGCGTCGCGTACGCTGCGGATGTTATATCTGGCGTCGCGACGCCCTCGAGCCTCAGCCGCTCCTCAGCCGCCCGTCGATTCACAACTCATCCCCACGGTTGGTAATTCTGCGAAATTCTCGCTTTATTAGAACTCTCTTCAACGTTCCATTTCGTATACTCGTATAGAGACGCTTCGAAGGAAGACGCGTGGTGTAATAATAATCGATCGATGCTTTGTGGTGACACGAGTGATTAAAAAAAAAAAAAAAAAAAGAATCGATAGGTTTTAGAATTTTCTAATTGTCACGTGAATGGATATGTACTTTATCGAGTGCGGAAGATTCTTAGGGTGAATCGGGTGAAGTAGAAAAAATAAGTGAAAAATTCGAATTCTTTTGAATTGTAGATAGAATTATTAGTATATCGAAGAAATTTCTTTTTCGAATTATTCGTTCTCTTTTTTTACTGAACAAGTGAAAAATAATTATTCTTATGCAACGTATATAATAAAATTTCGATATTCAAACTAGCGATTGTAAATATTTTTTTCAGAGAAAAAAAAAAACGGTAGAAAAGCAGCAAAATGTGCGACGACGAAGTAGCAGCCCTTGTTGTCGATAATGGATCCGGTATGTGCAAGGCCGGTTTCGCCGGAGACGACGCCCCCCGCGCCGTCTTCCCATCGATCGTAGGTCGACCCAGACATCAAGGTGTGATGGTCGGTATGGGTCAAAAGGACAGTTATGTAGGCGACGAGGCTCAGAGCAAGAGAGGTATCCTCACCTTGAAATATCCTATCGAGCACGGTATCATCACCAACTGGGATGATATGGAGAAGATCTGGCACCACACCTTCTACAACGAACTCCGCGTTGCCCCCGAGGAACACCCCGTCCTCCTCACCGAGGCTCCCTTGAATCCGAAAGCTAACCGCGAAAAGATGACCCAGATCATGTTCGAGACCTTCAACAGTCCGGCCATGTACGTCGCCATCCAGGCCGTGCTGTCTCTGTACGCTTCCGGTCGTACCACCGGTATCGTCCTGGACTCGGGAGACGGTGTCTCCCACACCGTGCCCATCTACGAAGGCTACGCCCTTCCTCACGCCATCCTCCGTCTGGACTTGGCCGGTCGCGATTTGACCGACTACCTCATGAAGATCCTCACCGAAAGAGGCTACAGCTTCACCACCACTGCCGAGCGAGAAATCGTCCGTGACATCAAAGAGAAACTTTGCTACGTCGCTCTGGACTTCGAACAGGAAATGGCCACCGCGGCCGCCAGCACCTCCCTCGAGAAGAGCTACGAGTTGCCCGATGGACAGGTCATCACCATCGGTAACGAGAGGTTCCGTTGCCCAGAGGCTCTGTTCCAACCGTCCTTCCTGGGTATGGAGTCCTGCGGTATCCACGAGACCGTGTACAACTCCATCATGAAGTGCGACGTCGACATCCGTAAGGATCTGTACGCCAACAACGTACTGTCCGGTGGTACCACCATGTACCCTGGTATCGCCGATCGTATGCAGAAGGAAATCACTGCTCTGGCCCCGTCCACCATCAAGATCAAGATCATCGCTCCCCCCGAGAGGAAGTACTCCGTATGGATCGGTGGATCCATCTTGGCTTCCCTGTCCACGTTCCAACAGATGTGGATCTCGAAACAGGAGTACGACGAGTCCGGCCCTGGCATTGTCCACCGTAAATGCTTCTAAAAGTATCGTCGACGATATAGCAACGTCGCATAAATATCGAAGAATTATTAACCGACTTGGAGGAAATCGAATATATGATCTAGCATCGGTTTCCTTTAAGAAATTATCATGCTGCGATAAAGCAACGTTACTGAAATATCACGTTATATGGATCATCATTAGATCTCATCGAATATTCATCGTTGTGGTCATCTAGATGCTAGACGTGCCACGACAATCTGACACTATTGACTTCTTAATGTCCGTGGGATGGCTAACGAAGTCATGCTCATCTATCACTTCATTTGGACGAGGAAGCTGGCAAAGGTGTTGGTTCTCGATACAGAGCTCGCTCGCGAGTGGCCAATCCTTGTTCAATATCGGGACAAAATTCGTGAACGATGGTAGAATCGGTTAATCTTACTTACCAAATGCATCTTTCGACCGTGAAAGGGACATTCTGGACACGCAAAGGAAGAAACAGAATTTTCAGGAGGAATTGGACCAACTTCGTGGGAAGCTGCGCTTTTTTCACTGTTCACGCGAGATTCCTGCACCTCTAACTAAATATGCCTTATATCTATTCTTAGTTTCCTAATCGAATTCACCATCAATATTAATTTATTTTGTAAATATTATAAAGTATATATATTGTTATATACGATATATCAAAAAGTGAAATGAAATATACATTTTCTCATACCATTATTTATATCCTTTAGTTCCAATGCGTTGGTATATAACCGACGTTTTTAATTCTCTCTAATATATTCCATATTCTTGTTCAAAGTTGTATCGTCACTTTATATTCCTCCATCTCTTTATATTCTTAAGTATATCGATGAAATACCTGTAACGTAAATCGTTGCATAAAAATATATATATATAGATATTTAGAAATTGAACGTTGAAAAAATTTACATATAAATTTCGTTGTTCTTTTGCATCGTGCTAAATTAAGTATTTCGCGTCATCGTTATTGAATTTACTTATAAATAAGTTTAGGAGATAAGCGATCAAGAACCGAAATATCTTTCGAGAGCAAGCATTAACATAATCCTCGTTTTCATTAGAATTCTATATATAATTAATTATTATCAAATATTCGAATTTTTATTTCTTAATCTTTATTTCTATATATTTTATACGTGCTTTTTACGTAAAAAAAAAAATTGCTGCTTTCTTCGCGATATTCAAGACCGAAGAATATGTCTGTGAGAGCGGAGAAAAGGTGACATTCAAGTAGTTTTAAAATAACTATTATTATGATGTGGAACAAACCGTGGATGACCTTGGCCTATTGTGACTAATTTACTCTTGAACAGTTCCATTATATATATATTTTTTCCAACCTTATGGACATATTTTTTAAAAAAAATCAAAATCTTCATTTTGGGGGGGGGGGGGGAGTTCGATCGATCCTGAAAATTCGAATCTTGAAAATCGAGAGTTTTCGCTAAAGAAGAATCTTTCTTACATTCCTCGAAAGCTTTTTCCGTCGATAAACGTATAGTTGACCGATAAAAGATCTACAGGTTTATTTTAGTCCAGATGCGTAATCTCAAAATATTCCTCCTACCTCTGATATCTGGGAAAAAGAAGAGAACAAGCATCGCATTGATAGATTAAATGAACGTTGAAGAAAATTTTTATAGCGATAGAAAAGAAAATTTTAGATCAAAGATTACGAGACTTTTGAAATAGATAATACGTATTGATAAGTACGATAAGTGTACAAAATGAAAAAAATTGTAATTCATAGACATGAAATATAAGTAAAAGTTTATAGAAATGAAATACAAGTAATGAGATAAAGTAATAAATAAGCAATAATTATCGAAATGACAAATTGTTTGCAAAGATAATTTTTTAATTAAAGAATTCAAACAAAGTTTATGGATAAAAAATAATAAATGCTTAAATGTAGAATACAAACGAAATTCATGATAAAATAGTCTACGTTATATTGAAAATTCTTGATACGTTCACCGTATTCTAAATTGGAATCACGATTTTGCTAAAATTACTTAATATATCTTACTTTTTTTTTAACATCTTATTTTTATCCATTTAAAAGACATTTATCATAAGAATAGAGAATTTTGAAACATTATCAGAATTTGAAGAATATATCTAAGAGCAAGCTCACTGAAAATTTACTCAGAAATCTATTTGCACACAAGATAAATCAGTGCTGTCACTTTCCATCCCCATCATTTTCCACGCAAACCATATCCACCTCTTACGTTATGTACGACACTTTGGTCTCAAACAAAACGAGAGAAAATCCACTTCCGTAACGAAACAAGACCAAAACTCGCTTCGTATATCGGTAGTTTCGAGAACTAACCTCACATATACTCTCAACTTAACTATCAAACGAATATGTTTGACAAAGAAAAAGAAGCAATTAAGAGCAACACGAATTCTTCGATCTCGCGAATAATTCGATCTATAATCACTGATTTATCATCTCTTTCCTAAATAGGAGAGGAAGGAACAATGGCTAAATTTTTTCAGAAACGAACTCGCGAGAAGGCTACCCTCTGGTGACGAAAGGAATAATTAAGAAAAGAAAAAAATTCGAATGACAGAAGAAGTACCTACAGGAAGGAACGTTATCGAAGATTTTCAAAACGGCGCATTTTCCTCGGTCCGCTTAGGGCCTGGGGCCGCCTAGTTGGGCGAGCGTCGCGACGCCACGCGAGGCAAGCCTTTTTCGTGCCTGTCGGGCAACCACCATCCCACGAGAATGCGGGGGCGTCGTGACGAGAGCATATATTCGACGTCGGGACGCTCCGGAGGCACAGACGCCACTCCAACTCTGTCCCGTGCACGGTACGTAGAAAACTATTCTCTGGAAAACGATCCATTTCTCCATCTATCGGATACTATCGGTTACTTTCGACAATCCTTCGATGTATCGTCCATATCGATACATCGATATATATTCGATTCGATTCCAATCGATTCCATTGTATAATATTCCATATCTTTGCGATCGATTCCATTGTCAAGCATTTCGATCGATTGTTCGAGTAGAAGAAAGCTTCGGATGCGTGGCGGTAGACTTTTAAGGGAGCGGTCGAGTTTCCTTCCGGTGTCTCGTATCTGAAATAGTATCGAAAGTTAATTGCGTTCGTATATTAAAGAGAGAAAAGTAATAAAAATATTTGATCTCGAATTATAGTAATAATATAGATATTTTTCAATATTTATTATATAGATTAACCTTTCGATTATTATTTTCTTTCGTATTAAGTTTAATATTTTAAAACATTAAAATAATTATTTTTTTCGATTTTTTCGATCTATTAATATCTAGTTAATAAAATTGGAAATAATATAAATCTTTTTAAAAGATTATTAACCGAAAGTATCCAATATCATACACTTCTACTATATTTAGTTTTTATTAATTAAATTTAATTTTAATATAAAGAATAAAAGACCTATTGAATCATCATAAAAGATTTCATGAGACTTATCGTTAGAATCATAGAGTGAAATAAATCATCGGATATCAAGATTCTACAATCTATATCCATTCTCCATATTTACAAAATCTATTTTAAAATCTACTTACTCATATTACATAATTTGCTATTTTATATTATAAAAGATATAAGTAAGTCAGAATATCGAGTATTAAAAAAAAGTTTTCCTATAATTTTTAAAATTATTCGTAGCAGTAAACAAACTTTCGCAAGAAATGTTTTCTGTTTTTCTATCCGTTTTCGACCAATCTTTTCGTAAATGATGGCGCACGCGATTTTTTCCCCTCGAAGAAATCAAAAAATTCTTCTAACCAGCTAATCACGAGTGCCAAAAATACGCTTACAGGGCGAATGGCCTATCTATCATCGTGTTTAGATATACATATTCGAGGTCTTTGTCCGTGTGTAAAGTTGTTCGTCCTTTTGTGAAGCAGCAGGCATAATTTTGGCACACGCGCGCCTCGTCGTTATGCTTTATCCCTCATCACGGTCCGTGGAGGAGCCGCGGCGAGCGGAGACGGTGTTGCCCACCATAATCGTCGCTTGCACTTATTAGGGATCGTCCGTCGGCCGTACGTCTAAAGTTAGCGTCGCGGCGCACCGAAATAGTGGCGCGACGCCGCCGGAGCCGCTTGCCTATCGTTTTATAGGCAACTGGGTCAATTCTGGCGAGCATCGACGCTTTCCGCGAAAACTTCATCGTACTACGTGATTCTATATTTCGTTACGTATCTATTACGCGTACTTCGTCTTTTACTATTGTATATTCGCATGTTATGATTAAATGATATTCGACTATATAATTAAAGATTGCGTTTCGTTCGTTAAGAATTATTTCGAATTTTTTTCTTTTCTCTTTTCGTTATTATATTCCGTTTTAGAAAATATTGCGTTTAAATATCTTTACGTAGATCGTGTTTTGAATTTTGAAGATTTGGATCGATACAAGTTATTCAAAAAGATTTTACGATTTTTTTAATCATTTTCCATAATTTATAGATATTTTTCATCGCATAAAATCGATTTCTTCTTAATTAAATATAAAAAATTTTAAATGAATTTTGAAATTAATTAATATATTTATTAAACCTAATATATTTATCACACGTCACGAATTTCCGACATATTTTCACGATGAATCAGCGTAAACACAGAGAACTAGAAATACATTCGACAATGACATTGGACAATAACAAATAGATCTTTAAAAAGATCATTATATTATGACGACAGTAAAAATATCAACGTATGCAAAGACGTTCTCGCACCAAGAGAGAATTAACGAAGAATAACGAGGGATAATAATTTTTGTTACAGAGCATTAAAATCGAAGAAGAAACAAAATGTGTGACGACGAAGTAGCAGCCCTTGTTGTCGACAATGGATCCGGTATGTGCAAGGCCGGTTTCGCCGGAGACGACGCCCCCCGCGCCGTCTTCCCATCGATCGTAGGTCGACCCAGACATCAGGGTGTGATGGTCGGTATGGGTCAAAAGGACAGTTATGTCGGCGACGAGGCTCAGAGCAAGAGAGGTATCCTCACCTTGAAATATCCTATCGAGCACGGTATCATCACCAATTGGGATGACATGGAGAAGATCTGGCACCACACCTTCTACAACGAACTCCGCGTTGCCCCCGAGGAACACCCCGTCCTCCTCACCGAGGCTCCCTTGAATCCGAAAGCTAACCGCGAAAAGATGACTCAGATCATGTTCGAGACCTTCAACAGTCCGGCCATGTACGTCGCCATCCAGGCCGTGCTGTCTCTGTACGCTTCCGGTCGTACCACCGGTATCGTCCTGGACTCGGGAGACGGTGTCTCCCACACCGTGCCCATCTACGAAGGCTACGCCCTTCCTCACGCCATCCTCCGTCTGGACTTGGCCGGTCGCGATTTGACCGACTACCTCATGAAGATCCTCACCGAAAGAGGCTACAGCTTCACCACCACTGCCGAGCGAGAAATCGTCCGTGACATCAAAGAGAAACTTTGCTACGTCGCTCTGGACTTCGAACAGGAAATGGCCACCGCGGCCGCCAGCACCTCCCTCGAGAAGAGCTACGAGTTGCCCGATGGACAGGTCATCACCATCGGTAACGAGAGGTTCCGTTGCCCAGAGGCTCTGTTCCAACCGTCCTTCCTGGGTATGGAGTCCTGCGGTATCCACGAGACCGTGTACAACTCCATCATGAAGTGCGACGTCGACATCCGTAAGGATCTGTACGCCAACAACGTACTGTCCGGTGGTACCACCATGTACCCTGGTATCGCCGATCGTATGCAGAAGGAAATCACTGCTCTGGCCCCGTCCACCATCAAGATCAAGATCATCGCTCCCCCCGAGAGGAAGTACTCCGTATGGATCGGTGGATCCATCTTGGCTTCCCTGTCCACGTTCCAACAGATGTGGATCTCGAAACAGGAGTACGACGAGTCCGGCCCCGGCATCGTTCACCGCAAGTGCTTCTAAGCAGTTATGCTCGATTCAAATTATTATTATTATCGATATATTGTTATTGCTACACCTTTTCCCAAAAACACACCGTTCACTGCCGTACCGCTTCGTCTAGTTGCGTTTCCGTTAGTTCGTTTCTATCGGCTTTGTTTCTACGTGGCGGTGAGATTTTTTCCGACGAACATTGTCTGAATATATACGTCATCTTTTGTATATAAGTTTACATCTACGGAATAAATCAGTCTTATATTCTTACAACTAATCAAAACGGTGCTCTTCATTTTACGATTCCCTGAATATCAATATTTTAAAGTTCGGTTTATTTATGAATCTATTATGTTTTTCGAATATTGTTATTATTATTATTTTTTTTTTTTGTTAAAAATTGTTCCTTCCGATCAAATCAAAATATATATTCTCGGTTTTAATAGAAACAATTTTTCACACTTATGAGTCGAATATGTTATAATAAGGTGCAGATCGGATCGTTTCTCATTAAAATCGTGCATTTACAAATTTCGGTCATTGTAAATATTAAGGATGAATTAAAAAAAAAAAGAGGGCGAGCCATCAATCATTGTACATTCGTATTGATAGCTTTACTAGATAAAAATTTTGCGTAAATTTAAAAAATAGGATAAAAAATAGGAGTAATAGATTTAACTATTAACGGGGTTCTAGAAAAAATTTGTTTATTAAAATTTTCATATAAAAAATCTAAAAACCGATACTAATGTATCGAACATAAGTAATATTTTGGGAGGGGTAGTAGTGTACATTGACCTACCATGCATGGACTGAATAATGCGAAAGAATAATTTGCTTCTTTATCAAAATTTACCAGGATATGCAAACGGGCTTCTTTGCGTCTTATCATAAGCTTCGTAGTCCATTTATTAAAAATAGATGCACGCTCATTCAAAAACATATTTCCTTCTTGGCTTTCTCTCCTCTATTTCAATCAACACTTTGAGTGTTTGTGCTTGTGTTTTTGCTTCATATTATCTGCAAATTTATGACGTCAATTAATTATATAAATTTTGGAATTTTTTTAAATATTTTTAAAAAACAGAACAGTCTTACTATATTTTTATATTTATAATTTTGTCCTTTTTTTAATATAATCATAGTTATACTTTTTAGGTATATAATAAGAAAATTTTATAATTTTTCAAAATTTATTCCATTTCTATGTTTTTTTAATATATCTAGTTATACTTTTCAGGTATATAATAAGAAAATTTTATAATTTTTCAAAATTTATTCCATTTTATATTACAGTTATGCATTCATATTTGTAAAAGAAAGAATTTAAGGAAATTAATTCATTCTTTTGAGAATGTAATAGAAAAATTAATTTTTTAAAATTTTGATGATTTTTATGATACACGTATAATTGAAATGATTTTTAACATTTATGATAAAAATATCTGTACATTACATCCTATTAGATTATTAGGTTATAATTTTCATTTAATCGATAATTATATTATTATTTATTTAAAGATAATTTCTAATTATACAACTTAATTATAATCAACTCATAATTTATAAATGAAAATTGCATTACCTTGGAACATTCCATCGATTGTCATCTCGTAGCATGATCACTTGTAAAACTGTCGATAGATCGATCACCGTATCCGTATAAGTGTAAAGGATTTCGTGTGAAAGTTTACGAGAAAGATGTGCTGTTTCGGGGTTGAAACTGGGCAATGCGAATCCGCGAATCGGTCGCACGGTTCGACAGTAGCTTCTGCAAAAAGGTGGAGGGGATCGGTGGTGGCTCGAGCTACGTAGTCGCCCTGTGCATTCCCAATTATAGAAAGCAGTCTAATCGTTCAATAATTTGATTCTATATGCCTTTCATCGATTGGCTTGATCGAATCATTTTCGCCGATGTGCAACCATAAAATTCAAATCGTTTAGCATTAAAAATGACATCACGTTCCGACTATAATCAGGATTATTATTGTTGGCACGCTGCGACATGCGAAGAATATATACATTTTATGAGTAGAATGACAACTGTAAAATGAAACTGTCATGATAATCGAAGCTTTCATTAATCATAACATATGTAAATGTTTGTTTTTTAATGGAGATTTTAAAAATTGGCAATAGAATATTAAAATGAAATAATAAGATTTAATCACATGAAATAATGATAGGTTATAAAATTAGAAGATACGATTAAAATCAATCGGAATAGAAGAGATTAAATTAATATTAATCGAATCAATGAAATCGATCAATTTGTTTTAATATTCTAATCTTTATTATCCTAATAGATATACGCTTTTACTTTTTTATTTTTACATAGTTTACATGCATACCTATAGGTTAAATTATGTTGTGCTCCCTGCTATTAACCGGATGCATATTTCTTCAACTTACAACAATTTAAAAATAACACATTCCTAAAATTCATTCATTAACATCACAAACCACAAACGTAGAGATTTAACTTTATCGAATCTTTCTTTCGTAAAGTACAAGTTAGCACGCTTCACGTGAACTCGTAAACTTCATGCCTATTAAAAGCTATCCACGCATAAATCTAACCTATAAACTTTATTAAGTTCACTTATTTATAAACTGTTATTAATTTAATATATAAAAATTGAACATGTGATATTTACTGTTGTTTTTAATTAATTAAAAAACAACTTCTTCTTAATATTTAAATTTAAACTTTTTGAACTCAAACGTAAGAACAAATATATATTTATACACCGTGTTGAAATTATTCAGAAGTGAACTCTATTTTTCATGAATGATCGAACGAGAATGATCGAACATAAATCGAAGGATAAATCGAATTAAAAATCGATGCCCTTCGACCCTTGTTCGATTAGCACCCGGTGAGAGACGGCCCTGGCGTGTGACGAGTCCTTATTTGGATTGGGGGGCCGTCGGCCGCCGCCTCGTCGCGACGCACAGCGTCTCTCCCTCTCGGCGTCACGGTTAGGGCGGCTAAGGACTAGGTGGTGGCGGCGGGCCGAGACGAGTGTTAATGCACGATAGATTTCCATCTAAGGGGCGGATCGCTATTTTCGGCTGCGAACCGATATGGATAAAGGGACCCCACAGAGCCGGCACTGTGCCACTCGCCGCTCTCGGTCTCTTGCACGACGTACGCCCTAAGCGACTGTTGCCGATCTTTCGAGTAATTAGCGAACGGTAAATCGAATCAGTGTTTTTCTTAGTTTTTATTCAATTAGACCGTGTTAGTGTAAATAATACGAGTCACCATATCGCATGATTGTAAATTAAACTTATTAGACAACGATACCGACTGAGTCAAGTGCGACACACTGTACTAAAGATCCATGCATTGTATTACATTGTATGCCTTTCGAGCTTCTGAAATTTTAAGATTTTTATCTGGCCATAGATCTGTCAAAACATTAGTTCTGACATATATCGTAACTTCATGACTTCGCTATAATGTGGTCCGAACTACTATACCGATAAACTTTCTTTTCTCGATCGCTATGGTCGAGACGAAAGTTATTCGCGTATGATTGCTTTGGTCCTTGGAAAATGGAAAACAGTGCATAGAAACGTAACGAATCGTAACCGAAATTTCGCAAACTGTAATTCGTATCGTTTCAGTGATTTCGTGAAATGGAAAACGGTGTCAACCTTGTTGAGAGATTGAATGATCGAATACTTTTTCGTTCCAGGATCTTGCATGTTTACATATTTTGATTGTGAAGTGACATTCTACGAATTGTGATAACGATGCTAGTGCTTTTCTAATTGTTCGTCGTTATTGCTAACTTTGATAGACACTTTTCATTTTTTAACAAACTATTGGATACTTTTTTTAAATCATTTGATATAATTAGAATATAGATTAATTTAATCGATTTTATAATTATGATGAAATTTTTCAATAATAATTAATAATTCAAACAAATTTTTATAACCACATATTTTACTAAATTAACGGATTCCTTTGTTTTAAAATTAGATTACGAATATTTATCTATTTTGTTATAATTAACATTTTTTAAAAATCTTGGAATTTTATTAACTGTGTTAATTGATATTTTTCATGACACGAGCTCATAAACGAAATTTATTTATTCCTTATTTATTCCTGTTTATTTTTAATATTATATTTTTTTTTACAAAAGTTTTCTTTGTAAGATTAAATTTACAAAGAAATAAAAAGATTCAACATCTTTACATGTAATAACTTGGTAAAACAGAAAGTTGTGAATGATTAAAAATATATATATACAAGAAACGCTTAATTTCGAATATTTAATTAAATTTCTACAGAAACTAACATTAATAACCAACCAAGATGTGTGATGATGATGTTGCGGCACTAGTCGTGGACAATGGGTCCGGTATGTGCAAGGCGGGATTCGCTGGAGATGACGCACCGCGTGCTGTCTTCCCCAGCATTGTTGGCCGTCCACGTCATCAGGTACGCCATTGAAACAATAAATATTCTACGTTACAGTTTGCAGCATCAAACAAAAAATTTTCAATAATTATTCCAGGGCGTGATGGTCGGTATGGGTCAAAAAGACAGCTACGTAGGAGACGAAGCTCAAAGTAAAAGAGGTATACTCACTTTAAAGTATCCTATAGAGCATGGTATCATTACTAATTGGGACGATATGGAGAAAATATGGCATCATACCTTCTACAACGAATTACGAGTTGCTCCCGAGGAACATCCAGTTCTACTTACCGAGGCTCCCTTGAATCCAAAAGCTAACCGCGAAAAGATGACCCAGATCATGTTCGAGACCTTCAACAGTCCGGCCATGTACGTCGCCATCCAGGCCGTACTGTCTCTGTACGCTTCCGGTCGTACCACCGGTATCGTCCTGGACTCGGGAGACGGTGTCTCCCATACCGTGCCCATCTACGAAGGCTATGCCCTTCCTCACGCCATCCTCCGTCTGGACTTGGCCGGTCGCGATTTGACCGACTACCTCATGAAGATCCTTACCGAAAGAGGTTACAGCTTTACCACCACTGCCGAGCGAGAAATCGTCCGTGACATCAAAGAGAAACTTTGCTACGTCGCTCTGGACTTCGAACAGGAAATGGCCACCGCGGCCGCCAGCACCTCCCTCGAGAAGAGCTACGAGTTGCCCGATGGACAGGTCATCACCATCGGTAACGAGAGGTTCCGTTGCCCAGAGGCTCTGTTCCAACCGTCCTTCCTGGGTATGGAATCCTGCGGTATCCACGAGACCGTGTACAACTCCATCATGAAGTGCGACGTCGATATCCGTAAAGATCTGTACGCCAACACTGTACTGTCCGGTGGTACCACCATGTACCCTGGTATCGCCGACCGTATGCAGAAAGAAATCACTGCTCTGGCCCCGTCGACCATCAAGATCAAGATCATCGCTCCTCCTGAGAGGAAGTACTCCGTATGGATCGGTGGATCCATCTTGGCTTCCCTGTCCACGTTCCAACAGATGTGGATCTCGAAACAGGAGTACGACGAGTCCGGCCCCGGCATCGTACACCGCAAGTGCTTCTAAGGTGTTGCATTCAATACAAGGGTTCATGATTTTCACCTGCTTTCTTTTCTTTTTTTCTATTCATGGTCACGTTTCTTGAGCCGTGATCCTCTTAAATATGAATATATGAATTGTAGGGGAAGAAAAAAGAGAGAAGAAGGTAGAATGGGGGGAAAGATAAGGTTTGGGAAAGAGAAATTACTAAAGTGCCTTTATTCAACACATTTATCAGACTGTAATTTACTTTTTAGTTTGTACAACACGACTGTTTGTTATTAACGTTAATTAATTTATTGATAATAATTTTCCTCGATCATTGCAACAAGTTCCTTCTAGATCTTGTAAACTTGTGTACGTTGATTTACATGTATCGTACAGACACACACACACATACACACACAGGATACAAAGGCTTTCTTGAAAACCGTAAGCGCACGTAATTTGGCATTTGCGATACGCACGGGGTGGTAATGGACGAGAGTGAAGTATACGATATGGAAAAACCATAACCAGGCGCATCGACGTCGGCTCATATTGCTGTCTGGCGTATTGTTCTTATTATATCATATAATTAATGATAATAAAACTGTATTATATAATAATTCGATGTCGGATTATGTGAACCTTATCGCACGTGTTAGTTTCTGGCAAATACTCAAAAAGATGATATAATTGACGGGAACAAATTGCGATTTTATAGACAAAGAAATTAAAGAAAATTAGTGTTTTGGATTTTCATGACATTTATCTACGAATACAGTGTATTTTGGCAACCGGCCAATCTGGTGCAATTTCAAGTAACCATATTTTTATCTGTTTCGACAGGCCAAAAGTTATATAGTAATTAGGAAAAATCATTATAATTTTTTATGTTTCTATAAATTTTCTGCTCGTTATTCCATTAAATAAAATTAACAGTATATAACGTAAGTATATAATATAAAAATTAAATTTTCAAAACGAAAAATAGTTTATATTAAAAATTGATAATATATTAATCTTAATAATCAATAATCAGAAATAAATCAATAATCCACATTCTGTTTATTGGTAATATTTTACAAAGAATAAAATTATAAATCAATTAGATCAAATCTTTTCGGATAATAATAATTGAATTGATCTGTTCTTTCCTAAGATTCATTTGTCAGATTTAATTTTATTAATATGCGCAAAATTAAACTTCGCTTATTATTCTCTTATTTCATTTCATATATTTTGCATCTTAATTTCGTTCATCTAAATATCATTTTCGTAAAAGAAAATTTCTCTTTCCAAAAAAATCATCTCTTTTCAATGGTAATCATATTTAAAAATTAAATAGATTTGTGTCCTTATGACATAGCATTTTCGATATACACTTTTTGAATTCTAAAACGATCAACTACAGACTTTTCTTCAAAGAAAAACCTGTAATTCGAGACGAATGATAAAATTGTAAGACAAATAAAGAAATAGCAAAAATAGAGTTGCCGGTAGCTGAGTACATGGATACTGTGGCTATCGAAGAGTGCATGCCGAGGGTCCCCGGGATTACCTCCTAGCCTTACAAGGACCCCGGGTGACTTACGCTTATTCTGACACTTCACCGACTAAAATTAGCGCCTGCACTCTTTAGGACGTGTATATGCATGCATGCGTGCATCTGCATGGGGTAAACGTGCAATAGGATAAGTTTATCACACTTCATCTTTCTTTGGATATGCGCTGAAAATATTAATGCTAGAAGATAAATTATTTTGCTTACTCAGCGAATATTTATGATTTAATTAATAAATTCCCGAATCATTTATATATAATTTAATTATTATCGTATTTTAATTTGAATGAATAATTTCTAGTTACTCTTTGTAATATTTTTTATAATATACAAGAGATTAATTTTTTCGAATTTATTAACTACTCAACTTTTGAAAGAACGAATAAATTTATTATCATATGATAAGTAAGATTTCTTGATTGATGATAATATTGATATAATGATTATTGTTTAATTTAATTATCAATTATGTTCACTGATATTGCATTCATCATATTATTTTTTAGATTTTCTATAATATTTCTTAACACAGATATATATAAATTATGTTTTTTTTATTATATTTATTAGTTGAATTAATGTTAATTCAAAATATCAGCATCATATATCAGATATTTTTTTGTTCT